TTGTAGACGATTAATATCTACTTTACATTCTAACTGATTTGCGATTGTGTCAATACCTCAGGAAGCGCCTGAAAGATCACTGAAAATGTTATTCATAAAATTTTATATAACATACATATATCGGTTTCATTTTTATTAGTCTTTTAGCTATTCTTGTATAGAGGGCGTGTCTTTACCATATTGAAGCGTCTAAATTACATGTGTAATCTATTTCCACTAAAAACCAGAATGCTCCTGTTTAATTTATTAATATTTCCCCACTTTGTCCGTACAATTAATATCAATGTACAATTAGGTGGTCTGTAATATCAGCTAGGTCTTATCATCATCGATGTAGTTTGACAGAATTAATTTAAATGTTGAATTTTTTAAATTATTTCTTATTCTTAAAATTTGGTCAAGTTTAAATAATTAACTAACCTCAGTATGAACTATGAAATGTTGTATTCTCATTCTCTATTACTCTTACAACCCATGTATACTGACATAGTAAGCTGTATATCTTGACTATTTAAAGAGTGGACTTTAAAATTAGGACTATTATAAATGACTATGAGGGCTGATCTCGATGTTCATGTGAAGAGAATATTCATTTTCATCAATCGTAACCTGACAGACCCATTTTAAAGATTGTCACAGGTGTTGAAACTTATTCCCTAGAAAATTTAAAAAAGTTACGCGAAACAGAACGAAAAGGATAATTTTGCTCTGCTCTGAGCCGAGAGACAAGACGGCTTCAAGAATTCATCTATTTTTTTTTTTATTGAAGGCTCAGCGAAATTCGTAGATATAGTGCGAAAGGAAAAGATGCTCTGATAATACAATTTGATTTGAAACAAATCATGATCAAGATCTCAAAATACAATTAGAGGAGGAATTGTATAAAAAAGTGCATTCTGCACCTACTGGAGAAATTTGGTGAGAGAGAATTTTCGGCTCAGGGACTTGGGTTTGGGCTGATTTCTTGAAACAATTGTGTGGAAAGGAGCTATCTGCAGAGTATGGCGGGATCTATTATTTTGAACTAATTAGGAATCCTGCACTATCCATCACCTGCATTAATTCTGGTCACTTCGTTATGAACTATACGGACAGTTGTGAGAGGAGAAAATTGTATCAATGAATAAATGGATTATCACGTTTGGTGTCGCAAAACTTCATTTTTTTTTCCCTCTATCATTAAATAATATCGATTTGGACTGATCCGTATGCTGGATTTTAGCAACTCAACATAGTTGAGCAGATAGACAGTTTTATTGTACTTCTCTGTTTAGTTTCTCCCATTTGAAATTCTTTGAAAATGCCTAAAAAGTGGGAGCTCCGTCTGCCTGGTTTGCCCAGCCCTAAGGCCGGCATAATTTTAACTATCCGGTCAGCAAATTGGCCCATCAAATGACGATCTTCTTGTGACAGACCCTGCTGGCTATCTAATCCTTGATAACATGTCCAATCTTTATATACTATATGGGTCTAAAATAGGTCATATATAGTCATAGATAATTGTCATACATTTTAGGCTTACTGGAACGTTGCAAGTTATAGATATTCCTAACGTTTATGACATTTCCAAGAGAATAGTTTAAGTATATTTCAAAGAAGAAAAATTAAGAGATTTTTGGCTCAGGTTAAGAAAAATAAAGAGAAATCTCTCCAATAAGATGAGAAAACTAAAAGAAATTGAGTTCTGCCACTAATCAAAACAGAATACTCTACCATTAGGTAATCTTTCTCCCAAAGATATCAAATTTAAGACTAACCCTTTTATTTAAAATAATAATAGACTGTAAAGCGGCTTAGATCTTAATAACACTTGGCGGATTATGATTTAAGATAATTCAGATGATAATAGCATATTTATACTCACAAGCAAACATTTTACTTTCATAGCATGACCATCTTTACTCAGCATCCAAATTTCATTTCCATCAACTATATTTTTCAATCCTAGTATCTTTTTTTCTAACCAGTTCAGTTTTTCCCTTACTGTCATGTCACATGAGAATGTATCAGTATTTGTAGAATCATTTATTATTTTTACATTATTGATTAAAGGAGTTGGTTCATGTGTACGTACTTCACTGCCTGTATCCCCACTATTGATATTGTAATTATCTAAACTTTGGGTGACTGTTAAAGAAGATATGGTCGCATAATTCTTAGGTTCGTTTTTAGAATTATTTTCATTTAAATTTAGGAGTTCGAAATTCATTATGAAGAAGTCATAAGCTAACAAATCTTCATCTAATTTAAACTATAACACAGGATATAATATTTTAATTTACAGCTGTATTACCTTTTCTACATACATGCATGATACTTCACCACTTTTTAAGATTCAAGACTGTCTAATTTATTCGGACTTTTCATAAGGTGCATGTACCTGAATGAATTATTGTAATTCTCCAGTCTAATAATTGTTCTAGAATTTATCAATATCCACCTTATATAATGGTCTTTACTTATTCCATACACCGATCACATAAGAAAGCTAACATTCATTCAAACACTTACCTTCCGTGTGTAGATAGACGTGAATTAAATAGGTATATTACTAAATTTACAAAAGAAATTAACATTATGGCTTTGAAGATTATTGAATAAAGAAGACTGAAAAACAGAACAAATTTATTTGAAATAGAAAGTTAATATTAAACCTCATTAAGTAGTTGTTAGCTTTTTTTTTTTTTTGTGTCATGTGTTTAAGAGAGTCAACCTTCTGCTGGACTCCAGCAGATCGTTTCTCAACTCTGCATACATTGGTACTGGATTCAATCTCTTGATGGATTCCATCGATGGAATCAGCTCTGAGTTTAGGAATTTGCCCAATCAAAGACTTTAATCGGCAGAGATATCCTGCTTCATCTTTGTTATATCTCTTTTCGGAAGTTCACTGTGATTCTTAGAGTTTATTATTTTGGCGGTAGATTCGTTTTTTAAAGTAATACTTCTTATTTTTTTTATTAAATATTGTCTTATTTGTAATATATTTTTAGAGAGTTGATGTAATTTAATAACTTTAATTTTAGTAAAGGTTTGCTAAAAGTTTCTACACATCGATCAGAGCTTTATCATAATAAGTTTCTTCGTAATACAAACAATTTTCACTATTGTAACTAATTAATGCAATAAAATATTAATTAACCATTGAAAAAAAAGAACTGATCTCTTTCCACTCGTGTTAAATAAGTAACTACACAACATTTCTTGGTGCACTATGCAGGGTTAAGATCTACAATAATTCATTTCATGCCAATGCATTGTCTCCATATTTAATGAGGTCTGTTAAATAATTATTGATAGGAAGGGGTAAAGGCCAAATGATAACCACAGAGATACGTAAACAGTATTTTTAACGTGTATACTACTGATAAAAATTTGATGGAATACCCATTATTAAGCTTTACAAATAGTTGAAGTATCTAAAACCTAAATTATTTATTTGTATGAGTGTCATCAATTTAATTCCATCAATGAAACAGCTATAATGGAGAATAAAGAATATATTTCAACTTTAACTCCAAATGATTTGAAGTATTGTGATGAAGTATTAAATGAAAATGTTGAAAAAAGAATGACTTATGTAAATGAAATTAGAGAATGGCTGCTGAACAACCCACACTTAAATGCATCTGAAGGTATTTATTTTTCCTTTGTATTAAAATAAAATAAATTACATTTTAATCATGTATTAACTGCAGATACATTTGATATCTTGCGATTCTTAAGATCAACTAAATATGACATTGGAAAAACAAAACAGAAAATCAATGACTTTTACACATTCAAGAGTAATGCCCCAGAATGGTTCAGAAATAGAGATCCAATGTTACCAGAAATACAGTTATTATTGAAGCTAGGGTATGTATTATATTAATTTTTGCATTGATAGTAAGTTAGTATGAAATATATTATAGAAGCTAAGGATGTTTAAAAACAAAGGATTTTGTCTGCTTGATTAGGAAGGTAGTCCTAATTTAGTTATAGAAAATATTTTGTTTAGGTATATTTCCTCAATATTGAATCTTTCAAGGTTTTATTTTTACTAATTTGTTATAAATAAGAATGTTGAAACACATATAATTTGGACAAGCAGTAAGTATAATTATCTTAAAATAGTTTTGAAATATTATCTAAACTAGAATGAAGCATTAAGATAATGGTAACTTGTTTAGAAATATATTACTATCGCATACTTTTAGAAATAAGAAAATTTTTAAAATTAATATGTATATCTTCTCACATTAAATTCTATCTTGAACATATAACTTAAGTTCATTTATAAATTTAGATTAAATTAATTTAATCTACTAGTACAAATGCTTGACTTTTTCTATCAACCAAGAATAAAAAATCATTAATTAGGAAGACCCACCTTAGCAGATAATTTTAACTATATTGCTTTCATGAAACCACATAATATCTACTACTAATTTTCAGTGTTACACACTTTGAATTTGAACACACTCACTATTCATGTTATCCTTGTGGGATTATTTTTTCTTTGCAAATTTGATGTTATGAAGTAAGATTTCATAAATAATTAATTCATATCATCTTTTACCTTAATCTCTATAACCTATGAAGGGTCTTGTATTTAGTACTTTATAATGAAGTACTGTTTTCTAACCCAACGGTTGGGAAGGGAGGTGATTGGGCCAAGATCATGCTCAGCCGTCAGGGTTTCCATACTAACCTTCCATTAATAAATACCTAGTGCTTAAACAAAATTAACTTTGATACTCACAACTAACAATCTCAAATAGGACGTACTTAATCAATAAGTCACCACCATTTAAAGTAATTTATTTTACTAATGTTTAAGATAAAAAAAACTTTGAAGGTCAATCTTCAACACTGTAATCATATTATTTAATATGTTTTTATTGAGTAAACAAAATCAGACACATAACAATTCTTCAATGTATGACCATAGCATAGTGATTAGAAGATATTAATGTGATGAAAATTATTTTTTAAAAATTGTTTACTTTATATTCCAGCGTTTTTTTACCCCTCTTAAAAAGAGACAATGATGGCCGGTTAGTTATCCTCATAAGAACTGCAGCTCACAATCCATCAATCCATAAGCAAAATGATGTTTTCAAAGTTGGAATGATGGCTCTTGACTTGGCACTAATGGCGGAAGATACTAGTGTTTATGGAGTAGCAGCAATTTTTGACATGAAAGGTGTAACACTTGGACATGCAAAAGCTCTAACTGTACAAATGATTAAAAAAGCAGTTACATCTTGGCAGGTATTTTTAGTTTATCAATCTTGTATAAAATTATAATCCTCATCTTATTTAACTTGAACTATTCATTTTTAATGGTATGAATATGTTCTCTTAGACATATCCTGTACGATTGAGAACTTTGGAATTTATAAATTCACCTGTTTATATTGATTTTGTGTTGAACATATTTCGGTTCTTCATGACTCAGAAAATAAAAAGCAGGGTAAGTTGAAACTTTGATAGAATTGATATAGTAACTTTAATATCATTAAATGCATTTGAAATATGTGATACCATGTAAAGTCTTTGTCTATCAGTAACTATTGAGTTATATAAATCCAAGAATTTTGTTTCTTTAACTTCATTGTGCCAAATTTAATAGTTTTTAAAAAGAAAAGAGTATTAATATAATGATTCTAAAACACTATATTTCTTATTTTTATCTTCATAAAAGGTCAATATGGGTGTATAAAATTTCTAAGCAATTTCTAGTTTAGAAGTAAATGGTGAATGGTTGTCAAGGACCAAGGGTCACAGATGACCTGTGATTTTGGTGCTAAATATTTATTAAAAAAGAAAGATCAGATTCTCGTAGACAAGCTGTGGAGAGATAATTTTTTATCCACAGAATTGATAAAATGAAATTTAGACTAACATGGATTAAGTAGAATTTACAAGGAGTTTAGAATAATAGTTTCCTCTGTGCTGTGGAGCACCCTGAGATATTTAATAATATGGTTCATAGTTTAAAATATGTTTCTAGGTGCACATCCATGGTTCTAATTATGAGTCCTTACATTCAACTGTACCAAAAGAAATTTTGCCAGAAGAGTATGGAGGTACTGATGGTAAATTGCAAAGTCTTATAGGTAAATATAAAAAGCATTAACATCTGTGCTTAAAATCAAACATTAAATTAAAACCAAAAATAAGGTCAAGTATTGTTTTAATGATTCTTGTAAAATTGTTTCTTAGGCTTCCAAAAAAATTATAAAAACCGGCATTCAAAATTGACACAATTACTTGTTTAAGATTAACATTCCAAATCTTTGTGATGAACATACTTCCAGAGATAAGATGAAATTCAAAATGACTGTTATATTTTCAAAAACTGCTAATAAAATTCATAATTTAGCATAATGAGTAAGCACTACTTATTTGAAAACAAAATGTACAATTACTTCAGAAAAGATATGATGCAGTTTATGCATAGGAATAAAAAATGTTAAAATAATTGTGAAATTCATGTTCATTATCATTATGCTAAAGTGGCTAAATAGTTAATGTTTGTGATGTGCCAGCTTTCTTCTAAAGTATTCATATATTGCATTGTATATTAATCCAAGCATCTCCTTTTTTTTTGTCTTCATATTTCCATCCACATCTGTCATGAGTTTGACAATAAGCAGATGTGCTGTAACTAATAAGAAAAAATTCATGTTTTAGGCATGAGGAAAAAAATAGTACCCAACAGCACTTCTTTCTGGTCTTGATTTATTTCCTTAATTCACGATTTATATGGATTCAGTTTTGAAATAAGTGACTAATTTTGTACATATAAGTTATTTATATATGGGATTCTTCTCACCTATGAAGAGCTTCAATCCTTTGGCTAGAGCACATTTATTTTCTCATCTAAGCGGATCAGGAGTATCGTACACTCGTATTTAGAAAAACTGATGAAATTACAATAATACTTCTTTAGAGACTAACATGTACTATAGAAAGATTTGAGAGAAAATCATCCGTAAGATAACTGGAGTGATCTAGGACCACAGGACTAATGCATGTAGCAGAGGAAATAAAAAGGAACTGCTTACAGAAACTGGTATATCTATACCTCATGATATTAAAGCAATTAGCTTAAGATGGATGGCTCAATAGGCAAAAGACCTCATGGAAGGGCAAAAAACAGATGCTTAGGGCAAACCAAATTAAGGTGTAATAGAGCTGCATGCAGGTAAAAAAAAATCTTAATGCTTTTAATTGGAAAGAAATATCTCAAGATAGGCAGGATGGAGAAGGATTATCATTTTCTTTGTTAGTTGATTTTAAGATACATGTATTTTTCCTAAAAAACTCTTTATCACATTAGAAGCTGTATGAGTTTATTTAAGAAAGATAAATGAAAATTGTATTAATAAAACTTTATTTTTGTCAGAAAGTTGATAAATAAATATTTCATTTTTTATTTCTTAAATAAAAATAAATAGCTTGAAAAATAAGAGAAGAGTAACAACTTACATAAGTTTCAGAAATGAGGAAAAATATACACTAACCAGACCATAGGAGGGGAAGCACGGCTTCCAAATGTTTTTACGTAGGACTTATCAATCTAGTGATTGAATTATGTTGAATGTATGTCGGGGGTGTGTGTATTTAGTAATAAATAAAACTAGCAACGGTAAAATATAAAGAATTATTCTGGTATAGGGTTAAAATAGTTTATTTCATTGAAATCATTAAAATAAAAATAGAGAAATATAACTTAAAACAGAGTATATGAAAATGTCAATTTCATTATGAAATATTAATGACTGTTTTCTCATCATGTTTTCTTTCAGATTATTGGAATCAAAAAATTTCTGATTCAAAATTGTGGCTTATGGAAACTGAAAAGAATCTTGCTAATACAGATGCATCGATACCCTTATGAAGTATATTTTTCAAATATTTTTAAATTAACTTTACTATGTGCAATATAATGATAAATTTCTGATACTTTAGTATTTATAAATTTGTAAGTGTATCTTTTATAAATTATAGTCAAGCATTATAAATTTGAATTTCAAAATTCAAGTGCATATTATAATCAAAACAAAAAAAAGTAAATCTGATTTGAATAATTAGTTTAGTTCTCCAACTTATAATTTTTTTAAAATATATTGGAGATAAATGTACATTTTTTAAAAATGATTGTTATCAAGAAATGCATTGGAAATTCAGTATTTTGTAATTGGGAGCTTATAAACATTAATTAAAGTTGTTTTGTTCACGTTAAGTCCAAGGAAATACTATTTATCAATAATGTAAACCTATTGATGTAAAGGTAATGGTTGAAATATTTTTTATGTGATCATGTGATAAAATAAAGTGCCTTTTGTATACTTCAGAATTTTTTTTTTTACCTACTTCAACCAATCATTTTTTGTTTTTTATTTCTTGTTGCATGACTTCCTTGGAAGATGAAAATAACAAAAAAAGTTATATTAGTACAATTAGTTTTCTAAAACTTAACTATAAAAAATAAATATCTGTTTCTACTTTTCCATCATTAATGTGGACCAAATTCTAAGAGTTTGATATTGAATTTTATAATTACGAAATTATAATAAAAATAAAGACAACTATGTCCTTTCACTACCGCAACCATAAATTTTAATAAAAAAATCTCATTTATCGTCCGTATTCAAACAGGAGATTGGAAAAAGAAGTGAATATTAATAATGGATTGTCAGCAATAATCAATAAAAATAAATAAATAGAATAATTAATTCTTACCTATAACATTTGGTAAATTCTAATGAAGTCTGCAATTACGAGTAGAACAAAATTCCTAAACTGTGTCTTCAAAGCTAGATTTCTTTAGGTTTATTTCAATACAATCAACTTCTACCAGTTCTTTCATTCAGCTATTTATATTTTAAGAAATAAATAAAAATCCATTTTGAAAGAGATGAAATCGGTCCTTACATTATAAATCTGTTATAGAAGAGGGTTCATAATAAAATAAAATTAAAAAAAAGGGGGAGGAATATATTACAATAAACCAACAAGTTGAATAAATAAATAATTTATTAAAACAATTAATTAATAAAATGTATAAAAAGTTAGTTATAACATTAGTAATAAGTTATATTACAAATAAAATATCACAAGATAGCCATTACTTTGGTGGAATGTTTTCTCTGTTTCCAAAAGTTCTTTGGAAGAAACTTCTTCGTTTTACTTTCGGTGATTCCTAAAAAAATTAATTTACATAATACATATGTATAATAAACACAGGCAATGTTTGCTCATCACAAGTATGGATATATTTACTTGATGCTCAATAAATCAAATAAACTTATAAGTCTTATTACCTGTACATTTTTAACCTTTGAGATGCTGATGGATCCAAACAGCTGGCTTAACCGATTCCTAACCTGCCCGGTGTTAGAATTGTGCTCTCGAAGTCCTCTCTTAAGCTCCAACTTTTCATTTCCCTGACAAAGGTACCAGAAAACGTACATGAACAGAAGAGGTAAGAAACATATCCAATAGATGGTCTCTACAAGAAAAGAAAAAAGTCTGAGACTCACGGGAAGAGAGTGTCTAGCTGCATTTATACTTGGAGTTGGTGGACCAGGTTTTCTGTAGGTTATCTGTAACATGTTAATGATAATATATTATATGTTTTTTCAATAAACCATTATAAAAACTCTGACTCTTTTCTACTCTAAACACACCAATGAATTTTTTTTTTTTTTACTTTAGTGATTTCACAGTTATGAATAGTTCCTTCTCAACACTTTGACTATGAACAGAACACCTGCCATTCTGGCCAGTTGTCAGGTCCCTAGTGTGGCTGGGACATCTATGTTCCTGTCTTGGCTGTCGCTACTTAAAGAGGTAGGGAAAAGCCCTGCTTAAAGCAGACTGGAGTAAATGGAACAACTGAACTGAGTGAGCAACAGGGGACTAATGAATGCACTGACCAAGCCACAAGTTGGATGGTTTAAACAGGGCTTGCCAAAACCTCTTTAAGTGGCAACAGCCAAGGCAGAAAGACAGGTGTTCTGTCTGTTGTGAAAGTGTTAAGCAACTATTCATAACTGTGAAATCACTAAAGTTAAAAAATGAAATAAAATGCACTCGTGTGTTCATAGTAGAAAAACGCCACTACCACTTAGAATATGTGTATTCAGGGAGTCTTGATGGCCGAACTCTCAAGGGTGATTCTAGAATAAATTTCCAGCAACAAAGTTCATTTGATGGATGGACCGAGATTCCTTACAGAAAAGGAGTGTTAAGAACAAATTTGTGTTTTTTTAAATGGAGGTCATAGTTTTTATTGAACAAGAAGGAATTACTCAAGAACTGTCCAAGATAATTAAATTTTAAGTATACCATTGTAAAGTAGACATAATTTTCTTTGGGAAAACTGTTTAAATTTACTAAGGTTAATGATAAAAGCGACTTTCAGGGGGTCTAATACGATCGCTCTACTGCTATAGTGCAGATACCAGAGCGGCATATCTCTATAAACTGACACATTTATTTGTAACTTATCTTGGAATACACTACCTAAAGAAAATAATGAATAGAAAAGAAAATAACTATAAATATCATACAGTTCCTTTCAGCTTTCTAGGTTTCTCAGGAGGAGGCAGGAATGTGTTTTCAGGAACTTCAGTTAGGCTTGACTGGAAAAAAAAAAAAAAAAAAAGCTTTAAAAAAGGTTAAATGGACTGATTTTTTCCTCTCAATGTATGAACAGACAAGATTTGATTTTAATAACAAAAAAGGCTGGTTCATATTTAATATAAATTAACTTATTTACGAAAACATTTGATTTTAAGTCAATAAGTTTTATTTACAATACATCAGTGAATAACAAATGGATGTGCTAGGACTTAATTTACATTCTCAGGCATTTTTCAAAATGTGTATGTGATCATGTGTATAGTATGTGATCATTCATAAAATCATTACAAGAATCTATTGACTTGATTGAAAAGAATTGTTTACATCGCTGTATATGAAACAAATAACTAATGAGAAAATAAATCAAATCAATAAGAAAACCAAGCAAATATAACATAATTACAAAAACAAAATTTTGAATATATATAATTGATTAGGAATTAAAGTTGAGAGTATACAAGATAAATTATAATTTCAAAAAAAAAAAAAAAAAAAAAAATGAATCAATCATTCAATTTCCTTATAAATGATAAGAAATAATAACTAAAATCATAATAATATTGACAATATATTAATATTTGACAGGATGAATGACTTCAATAACAAAAAAAAAATCAGGAAGTTAAATATTCCTAGCATTGTTTTATGTGTACCAAAGATAATATTTTTGAGATAAGACAGCATTCCGAATTTCATACATTTAATAAAATATTGTTGAATTCGATTTTCAAATTAAATTTCTATTGATCAAAACTTAAACTTAAAAAATAAAAGGTTAGATTTAAAAAAAAAAACACCTTCATTACTTTAAAATAAATCTCTAACCTATCATTATTAACACAAACCAATATAATGATAACCTCAACTTACTTTATTTTTCTTTCTAAAAAATATAACCATCTGGATACAATTATCTTTAGGAGTTGATTGAATATAAAATATACGCAAAAGTATTAATAATCAAATGCTTATACATAACTAAAACTGTGTTTGTCTTTTTAGAACTATCACAAATAAATCTACAATGAACAAGAGTCTATATTCTGCATCGAGGAATTCAAAAACATCCATCAACCATAAAAATTAAAGCAAATCAAGTTGAAAGTACAAGATTTGTGAGCCTAAAAGGCAGTATCTGAAGAGTCAATGACATGTACAATGACGTGTGTGTGAAGTAGATACCAAAACAATACGAATATTAACTGTATTCCTTTTTATTTGGTAAAACTTTATTACTTGTTAAAAAAACAAAAACACGATTGTCAAAAAAATTATATATAAATAAGAGGATGTGCATTTTAAAGTGCATGCTTCAATATCGCAGTAGCTAAAGGAATAACAAAAAAAAAGTTATATACTGTTATGGAATCAACTACAATATTAAGTCAGTCGGTAATTTTATCATAAACTGAAACATATCATAAATCATAAACAAATCGCCGTTAGTTGAATACTGTACAGAAAGGTACACGTTAAATTAAAGATTGGTAATTATACAAGCGATAACGATGTATATTTATGAAACTTAAAAACAAGCTTCAAGAAAAAGAAACAAATTATAGACGTAAACAGGTGTGTCCATCCTCTCCCCCCCCAAGGTACATGGCGCAAGAACGTCCTCCCCCCTTTTCAAGATATTTTATTTCTCTCCTCTTCTTTAATAATAGTAGTGTAAACGAAAGTAAAATGTAAAAGATCGTAGATCATATACAATTACGCTTGCTGCGGTCAGTTCACCGTTTTTCTCTTTTCCTTAGTTTGAAACTTTTCATTTCGAAAATGCATGACCCTGCCGAAATGTGCCCCCCTCAAAAATGTAATACTCCATCAAAATGTTGATGGCGCAACTTGCGACATGAAACCACCTTTTGGGCACCGCTAGGCGTTTATACTAGACGATGACTGAGTGGTTGACCGTGATAAGAGGGGAGATGTAGCTAAATTGAAATTAAAATAACACAAAAAACGTGGTGCGCCCATCGCACGACTTTCACTTACCACTCTCTTAGTAGAAATAAGTATTTTCATATAAAGGGGAAGTGAAAATATAAATTATAGACGCTATATTTATTTACATTTCATTGTGGGTATTTTTATTTCCCTTGCATTTTATCCCTTATATACACACATTTTTATATAGTTGTATCCTATACAATTAAATATTAAATAATATCAACGATAGCATTTATGAAAACCCCATATGTATATGTACATAATACTGTTGGAGTCAGCATTATATAAGACTCATGTTAGGTATGGAAGCCTGTTGTAATCTTTGGAGTGAGCTCGTGCCCGTATTACTACGGTACCTCCATTAAAACTATTATCCGTCACGGTCTCTTATTTCTCCTTTAATTAATTATCAAATTCATTCATATTTCATATTTAAATATTTTTTATAACAAAGATTAATGTGAAATGGTTAATTATTTCAAATAAAAAAAATTAAAGGTACTTTAGAGGTGGCTAATGTTGAAAATTAGCCGTTTTAGCCCTGTTAGAGAACATCAACGAGAATAAAACCTACGTTATATTAAAAACAGCTAAATAATACACTGAAATACTGAGTTGAATCAAAATTGTTAGAGGGGTTTTTGAGAAAATCGTAAAAATGTGTTAAATCGATTATATAGAGTACCACTTCAGGTTTACCGATTTTGACAAAAATGTCGTAACATCCAAGACTTATAAAAACCTCAAATACAATTTATGTTGTTAACCGCAATTTATGTTTCGTAGGACTTCGTTTTTGATCTAGACTGTTCACATACATACAACACACACAGAACATTTTGTGGAACTTAGTTATTTGTACTCAGGGAACCTCAAAATGTGTATTTTCGTTGAAAACTCAGATTCCAAAATTTTGACGATCGCAATACTTACCCTTACTATATATCACATACATAGGCAAGTAAAAGTAAAACACGACCGGAAACGTAAAAGGACGAGTCAACCGGAGAATTTAGGCGGTTACACAACGCTGAATTGCGTGAACGATATCCGGTTAATATAATTGAGGTGATTATGTTGAGGCGAATAAAATGGGCATCTAAAATCGCCGGGCTCAGTAACGAAAGAATTACTAAAAAATTAATATGCGCTGTACCGACTGGCAAGAGTCCGAGAGGAAAGCCAAAGCAAAGATGGGTAGATTGTATTAAGGCTGATTTTGTGCGGTTGGGTTTAGACCACTAGCGGATCCAGGATTTAATTGGGGGAGGGAGGGGGCTTCAGCCCGAAACCTTTTTTTTCATAAAAATAACGATAATTACTTTGGAAAAACAAAAAGAAACTAGCTACCTATATGAAATGGTGTTTAATTTATTCCTTAAGTACTTTTAAATGTAATTACACGAACAATAATACTTTAAGAGGTATTTTTAAAATTTTTTTTCCCATAGAACATGGTTATATTTTTCCATTTTGGGGGGGGAGGGGCTTCAGGCCGAAAGCTCCCCCCGTAGATCCGCCCGTGGTTTAGACCAAGCTGGGTAGATGGTAGAATGTGGACATAGATTGGTGGTATCGGCATAGAACCTTCGGGTTCGCTAAGCCTTATTATTATTATTATTATCAAAAGTAAAACACAAAACAAATAATCTCGTTATTTTCCTACGTACCACAATACAAATGGCGTTCCTTCTTGTCCACTAGACCAAGATGCCATGTTCACAGTATAAATGAGATTCCAAGCATTCTCGGATCCAGGAATTTTATTGTTTTGCGCAGGGAGGGAAGGTTAATCCGGAAAAGGTTTTTTGCATTATTTCCTACGGAAATAATAGACTATTGGCACTGTATCGAAAGTCGACATTGGAAGGTGTTTTGAGGTTTTTACCAGTTTTGGAATCCCTACAGGATTTTAACGATTCTGCAATTTTTAGAGATGGCAGTTATATATATATATATATATATTATATTTCCCGCTATACTTCAGCTTCCACAGTGGACCCTGTTTGACCGAATAAGCTGAAATTCGGTATATAGAGATTGTTCCCAGGCGGAAAAATACTATTAAACTTTGAAAAAATGTCGGAATGTCAGAATGTTTTTTCATGTCTGTTTTTAAAGTATTGCGCATCTCCACAGCTCCTCCTAACAAAGTTGAAAGGTTGAAATTTTGTAAATGTATTAAGCTGGTGATGGAGAGGTGCCTTTGTGGGTTCTCATCACCAGCCGCCATTTTGTTTCAAGATGGCGGCGGAGAAACCTGTTTCTCTAGACTACAGCACTAAAACGACAGTAATGGTATTGATAAAAACTTTTCTAAAGCATTCTCCATGAAACACTATAAATTTATGTACATATACATACTTTCTCTACAAAGGGCTAGAATAGGAGTTTTGAGGAATACAAAACATTATTTACAAATAACTTAAAAAAGGGTGCCCTTTTTGGGTCAGAACATATTTTGAAGACATTTAACTTTCCTAACTTTCATCAAATTCCGTGCAGTAATTACAAAGATCCATCATACAGTTTCTTTAAGAAAAACCAATGGTCTTTAGAACATTTGGTAAATATTTTTAACAACACATCTTATTACCAAATCGTCAAATTTTAATGATTTTACTTTTAGGTTATTTAGTATACTTTCAAATGACCATATACAAAAGTTAATACTTTTTGTGTTTTTCAGATATCCAATGTTAACATCGTAATTATTTTTTCTTGCTTCTTTTAGGTGGTTTATTATAGACATAAATTTAAAGTTCTTGGAGGAGAAGACTTATGCAATCTTTCATTCAAATTGCAATATTTAATGGCAATGAAACAATTTAATCTCTTTAAATTTTTTTAAAATTAAAAATAAGTGGAAAATATTACTTTAGTGATTGAGCTTTGCTGCTCACACTTTAAAAAAAAAAATATATATAATGATAATTATTTTGAAATAAAGAGAAAAAACTAACTACCTACATGAGAAATAATACTTTTAGATTAGAGATGAATTTTAAATATTTTTTTTTTTTTCATAAGATTCATAAGAGAGGGGGGAAGGAGGCTTCCACCTGAAACCTCCCCCCTTCCTTAGATCTGCCTATGATTCCTAGTATAGTAAAGATTGAGAACAAGTGCTCAGTATAACCTTTCTCTTCTCCTTTTTTCATTTTTTATTGAAGGGGCATGTGGCGGAGCGGACTAACCAGATAAGGAAGTTAGAGATGGAAAAATAATTAGGAGTTCAAATCCCAGTCCCTGGTAGGACTTTAAACCCTGCATAATTCCCCGCCCTTGGGAAAATCCCCAGTAGTGTAAAAGGCAAGGGGAGATTAACGACTTTAGTGCTTTTCAGTTAAAATTGGAGCTTTAATTAGATGGCTGGTTTCTAAAACCTCTCGCTCAAAAGGTATAAACAAACCCCCAACAGATCCTTTTCAGGATGGTTTAGCCATTCCCATCTACTTTCTAAAACAGAGGAAGGTATGTGACTGAAATTTTACAGCATCTTTTCCAATAAAATCGACTAACCAAATGTGGTTACTTTATATAATCAATTTTAAAACTTTGCACAAACAATTTTGAACATGTCAATATACAATTAAATGTTGAATTTTCAAAATGTTTTCCTCTAAAGTCCTTTAATGTGCTTAAATATAAATTTGCAATGATTTGATAATTAACTTTAGGAGAAAATAAAAATAAAAATATTGTTTTAAGTTGAAAACAAAAGTCTACAAATAAGGGTAGTAATATGTGTATTTAATATATTGTTGGAAAGCTGATGGACTTAGAAAAAATAATATTTAATACACAAAGTTGCAGAAGTTTGTGGAGAGTAAGTAAAAACTAAATAGAAACTTTTAAAATTTAATTTAACTAACAAAGTTAACACTGCAATAGTTTTAAAAAATATTTTATTATTCGAAGAGAAGAATGGTTGGGATGATCAGTAAAAAAAAAAAATAAATAAATAGTAGAAATAAATAAGTATATTTATTTTTATTTTTGCCGACGTTTCGGCCTTCATCATGGCTAAGAGAAAACCAGATAACACTAGGTATGAGAAACTATAAACATTAAATAATGAAAAAAATAATTTAAAAATTTAATTAAATTTTCATATTTTTTATATATATTTCATATTTCTAACGAGACCTGTCATGAGCTTGACAATAAGCAGATGTGCTGTAACTAATAAGAAAAATTGACATTTTAGGCATCGATGGGGTCGACATCGAACCTTGGGGTTGCTAAGCCTTTATTATTATTATTAATTTAATTAATTTTTATTTACTTTAATATCATGTTTTGTGTTTATTTCAGTAACACTCCACTATCATTTAATATTTATTATCTATGCATTATACTATCTCCAGATACCCTACTTCCATTCTCTTTCAATTAAACATTTATTTAATAAGCTCATAGAATTTATTTATAATAAACCTTTTGTCCATTATATATGTTTCTGTGCTTTATTTCATGTATTTTAGTTTGCCATTACAGAGGGTGCTATGTAAGTTCTACTCTTTCTTACCATACCAATCTGCCTTCCGGAGTCTTTTCCTTCGACCAGGTGTCTCTCTTAGTTTTCTCCTCTTTTCTCTTTTTCCTGTTACTTTCTTTTCCATACCTCCACCTCTATTTTGTATATATTGATACATTTGCTCATTAAATCTTATTTACATAACTTTTTATTCTCATATAAGTAGTCACTATGTTTTGATAGATTTTACAGTATCTCAATTTTCTGTTTACATCTATTATTTCCATATATAGCTTCATATTCCTTTTCTCTGTTTTACATTTTATTCTATGATTATCTCACTTCCTTTTAGCATACTATTACATCATGTTTTAGCAACTATGTCACCCTATTTGTTTTGTACCCTATATGTTTTGTATACATTTACGTTTTTTATCTCATACATTCCATTACTTTCCGTTGTTAATTCATTTTTCATTTCTTATGTTACCTTATTTTGATTGTTTATTTCATTAGTCCCTACTTTTTTTACTGTTATTATTTATTTCTTAGTTCTCTGTTACTATTATTAATCTATCTACTTCATTTTACTTTAAGTTTATTCTGCCTAAATTGTTTTTAGACTATATCTTTCAACTACATATTATTTCTTTTATTATTTAATGTTTATAGTTTCTCATACCTATTGTTATCTGGTTTTCTCTTAGCACTGATGAAGGCCTGAACGTCGGCAAAAATAAAAATAAATATACTTATTTATTTTTACTATTTTCTTTTTGTCTGATCATCCCAACTATTCATCTCTTCAATTATTCACTATAGGCAATCATAAATCTACTATTATTTTATTATTCTTTTGTGATAGAACACTGGAAGATGTGTATGCTGCTAAAAATATTTCAAGCAGTATTTATGGATGAGAAAAACAAATGGTTATAGCTTTAATAACTTTACACCTGATAATAGGTATAAATAATTATTCATTGTCAGTTTATTGTGAAGTCATTAAGAAACATTTAAAAAATTAAATTAGTTAGTAATTTGATGAATTTTTCCTCAGTGAAACCAAACTATTATGATCTCAGCATGACACATAATGACAGGATTTTATAGCAAATTTTTGAATAATGACTGAAATTTACAAATTCGTTCTTAAAAGTTTTGCACTGTTAAAAATTAACTTCAACAATTTTTTGCAATAAACTGACAATATTAACTAGCCCAGATTGAGTAAAAATTAATTTCTCCTCCAAATAAAGAGGTATATGGAAGTTTTGTGATGGGTATATCACTTTTTTTTTTGGTATTTTTTAGGGCGAGAATTGATAAAGTTCTTTGAAAAATTCAAATAAATGAATACAAACCCCTGCTGTAGGACATGATAGTCTTTCTGTTGGTATTCTGCATATTCCAGCTTTTAGATCTTCAAGGCACTGCTGGTTAAAATCTTCATTATCATCATCGTCGTCGACTCTTGCTGTCTGTATAGTTCTTTTGGTAGTTACAGTAGTAACCATTTCATCTATGAAACCAGCACCATCAAGCCCACTGAAATATACAAGAACCATGTACTAATTATAAGAATTCATCAGTAAATAATTTGTTGGCTACTCTCTGTTACCTTCTACAACATTCTATATTAGATATTGTTTTTTTTTCTAAAATTCTTTGCTTTCCAAAGATATATTATACGCATACCTTCTGACTAGTATTTCCGGAGATTCGTTTTCGACCTGGATAAGCATTTTTATTTTTATTTCCAATTTCCTATTATCATATTCTTTCAAATTTCATATTTAGCCATTTTTTAATTTTACTGTCAATAAAAGATAGTTGATTTTTTTAAATAAACCAAATTAAAGGTACTTTAGAGGAAGACGTATATGAATATTGGGCATTTAAGCCCTGTAAAGTGACATAAATGGAGATCAGACCTAAATGATATTAAAGACCACATAATAATTATACAATGCTACACAGAGTTTAACCAAAATCGTTAGAGCCGTTTTTGAGAAAATTGTAAAAACATATTTCACCACTGATATTAAGTGGCACCTCCGGTTAGCCGATTTTTGCCGAAAAAGTTGCTGTAACATACGAGGTATATACAAACCTTAAATATAAAATTTCACTTTCGTACGACTTTTCGTTTTTGAGCTAGACTGATCACATACATACACACACCTCAAAACATGTATTTCTGATGAAAACTCAGAATCAAAAATTTTCACAATCGCAATACTGTTCCTTACTATATATAGGTAACTGAAAATTAAAAAAATAGATTACCCAAGCCACATAAAAGAATGAGAGTCTTCTACCCCTTTCTTTTGTGTTTGATGTGTTTGGTGATCAGAAAGCATTTGTCTAGTTATTCTAAGTTGAGAACGAAGAGCTTCTGACTCTTGCTGAGCAAGAACTAGTCTATCACTTGTTTCCCACAAGTCGCTGCTCAATTGTTCAATGTGCACGCAATCCTTTTTTATCTGAAAAGAAGAAATGTTTAATTGGCAATAAATAAACAAATATTCATAACAATAACAAATATTGGCCTGGATGAATAAACATACCTTTAACTTAAGTTGTTCTATTTTCCTTGTGTAATCTTCTATCACATTCTTGATTTCATCTTCATACTGCTGTGTCTAAGCAGCACAAAAAAGGTTACAAATGATTATTTATTAAATGCCAGAATTCTAAATTTATAAAATTACATTTTTTAAGGAATTCAACTTCTAGAGATATTGTTTTGTTTTTTAAATAGTGGTTTTATATGAAAGACAAGATTCAGAGGAGATGACAGTTTAATCATTAAAAAAAAAAAAAACCTTTGCACAACCAACAGGTTTTCTTCTTAATAAATTAAGAGTACTCACTATATAGAGACTGGGTATGTTCCAGGATACATTTGTGATATATACAATATGTAATATGAAAAGCAAAACAAAATGTTTCTCTAAAGTACATATTATTGTTTTGAAATATAATTAAATGCTTCATAGTTCAGCGTGGTATATTATTGAGGTAGAAGATGGTCTGGAGTGGCGGTCATACAAATTTTTTATGACTGCCACCCAGGACCATCTTCTTACTCAGAAATACAGTTATGTTAAAAGTCCTGTTATTATGTTCCATTTCTTATGAATATCCTAATGCTTACAAAAATTATTGAGCATTCTTTCTCAAACCTAATTGGTCAAAAGGAAAGCTTTGATTTAGCAACTTGACCAATATTTTGTCCTGCTGAATTAGTAAAATATTAAACTCTCAAACTTATTTTCCTTCTACAAAATGTCCCAATTTTTTTAATTCTAATAATTAAACAACCAACGGTTCATTGAAAACACCATGTGCATATTTATAATCTAATGACATTATCCTATACAAATTGGAAATGCTTCTGAAAAATATTAAATTTTCTCGGTAATGATCAATATATTCATGCAATTAAAATTAATCCTTATATTAAAAAAAAACATTCAAAATACCATCACCAAAGAAAAATATTATTTAATCTAAACAATAGAAAAAAGCATACTAATCTTTCACCAATCCCACATTCCAGATAGCGACAGTCCACCAAACATTAAACTTTTACATTAATTATTTTTACATTCTTAAACTTTCATTTCTTACACTTGAACTTAGATTCTTCCAAAAAAAAAATTCATAGGTTTTTTTTTTTTTTTTGTATGTGTTCTCCGTCTCCTCAATGTCCCTGTTTATTTGGTCAAGACTAGATCATTAAACTTAGTTGGGACTCAAAAATACTGGGACATATTACAAAGTGAAAAGGAGCACAAAGCATTTTTGAAACACTTAAAGAATAAAAGAATATAAACACCATTTCTTTTTTTTAAATTTGATCGATGGGCAAAGTTGGAGAAGAAATAAAATATCATATTTTATAAATTATTGGAGGAAGTTAATGGACTGTTCTACATATCATGGGTGATAAATATTCAGGAAACAGTCCCATAAAAACTGTATAATGACTGCGTTCTGAATATTTATCACCCATCATATTTTATAATGTATTTTCTGCACAGATATCATTAGTAGGATAGAGCAGGGCTAGTTCGGCAAGCAGGCTTACTAGCATCATTTGCTAACCGCAGATTGTTATTTACAGGTTATGACACTGTTATAACTAGATCAGAAGGAGTAAGACAGATGAACATACATAATAAATCAAGTGGGATAAAACATAATACTGGACCTCAACAAAAATAAAAGTATAATGGATAGAATGTGGAAGATTGTCACCCACTTCTTAAAAGTAATGGATGAAAGAGAGGGAAATTAGTGCAGAGACATGATTAAAAATGAATAATGGGAAGTATGGAAGAGATATCAATATTATAAAACGGATTTTGTTTAAAACATTTTGATGTGGTAGGAATTACAGTCATACCATACCACAAAGTTAATAATCCTTTGAATTGATTACGATTGTGTATTTACACATAAACATATAAATTTGAATGATGCAAAAAAAAAAAAAAATCAGAGCAGGATATGCATTAACTGTTAAATGGTCCCATTACCTCCAATTATTATTTATTAAGAATAAACTATTTATAATTACCTATTAAGGTCCGTTTAACAATTAAAGGATATCCTACCATATTTTCTTTCCTACAGTAATGCCAGATTTCAAAAGTTTTGGGCATTAACCCTATTTGTTCCAAAGTAAATATATGTACCCATATAACAAAATTTTAGTTACATGTTATATAATGATTAATAAGATATTCCCTTAATTTAATAACTATCTTTTGTAACAATCCACCACACGAAATCCGTGCATCTTTCAGAGCATACTTTTATGAAGAGAAGAAAATAAGATATTCAGAGAAACAATTTTAAAATATCAAACAAATTACAGAATCAGACTGTACCATATCACCTAATACATTTAATTTCTACCTGTTTTGTGACAATGCTACTCCAGGCATTAATGTGCTTTCAGGCTATTATTAATAGTGAGAAACCCCTTTATTTTATTCTAGAATTCCTACAACCAAGTAATATTGTTTACTAAAATTTATAACACCATCACATTTTCATAGTTATATTTCTTAAAACTAAATCTTAAGAAATAGAAAAAATAAATAAATAAAAGTGGTTTATAGTAGTCAGATTAGGAATTTTGTATCTTTAATTATGAAGTAATGCCAATAACATCAAGAATAATACTAACGAAGAGTATTTAAAAAATAAACCCGATTTCTTTGCTTATTCAAAGCAAGGTTGAAAAAAATGAATACAATAAATTAACACATGACAATTAAATTAAATAAACCAATAAATTAAAAATTTGAATACAATCAACAATTAATATAAATAAATAAAATTGAGGCTGTTACTTTCTAGCTATTCCTTCAATGAATGAATGAAGCTGATTTTTGTTTGGATGTTTGTATATATATTGACCCCATAAAGATTCAATGCATCAGCTCCCACATAGTGCTTTTATAGAAATTATTAACCTCTTTTTGATTATATAATTTTGTTTTAATGAACATTCCATGAATTAAATATTAGAGAGGCAGGAAAGTAATGTTGTTTTCTTACGTTAAATTCAAACATTTAATTTTCACATGAGTTTTTATTTTTAATCATTGATCGAATCACCCTCATTATCAACAACCTTTTGCCATCTAGTGAGCAAATTTTCAAAGCAGGATCGATAAAAATCAATTACTTTTTTAGCAAAATATATAGAGATGGCATTTTGCATTTCCATACAGGACCTATTTTTCATCTCTGGTGATCAAATGATCAAAAAATGCTTCTGTATCGTACTGTTGAAGCAATAAATTGCATATGGTGATTTCTCAATCTGCTGCAAATGTTCTTGGATGGTTGACCAAGGTTGGTTAAGACAGTTTGAAAATTCCTCGATTGTCTGATACGGATTTGCTTCGATTTCCATCCTTAACATGCCATTGTCTAACGTTGTTGGTCTTCCTAATCGATACAAGTCGGAAAGATCAAAATTACCGGATTTGAACTACCTTTGGCATTTACGAATGCCTAATGCATTTGGATAAACATCGAAAACAGCATGCACTGCCTCTTCTGGTATTTGGTTAGACATTTCACCAAAATTGAAAAAAAAATTTAATTTAATTATTTGAAACAAAGAAGTCAATTTACTGTTAGAATGTCTTTGCGATGCCATAGATGGACATAATGAGCTGCCAAATGACAATCAAATAGAGACATGCTCAGAAATGACATTACTTTCCGGTCCCCTTATACATGTTAATATGGTAAATTGTTATATTATGGTAGCTTACCAACAGTATTTACTTAATAAATGCTGAAATGAGTTTTAAAAACAATTGAAACCACTATATGTACAATATTCATTATATTAAAAATTGCTTTCATTTTGCTTACTACATATAATAAATGCATGTGATCAAGTAAAATCATAATAACCAGAAGAATCTCAATACAGTATATAAATATAGATCATGGAGTTAGGGCACAATCCAATGTTTTTAGGCCATTCTATAAAATATTTGAAACCAGATTCAATCAGTTTTGAAATAACTACCTCAAATATTTCAATAACTTAAATATTTAAGTAATAAGAGAATATATTTAATATTAAAAACCATATAATATGGTGGAGATTTTGTTGACCATGAAATGAATTATACAAGATTAGGAGATGTGGTCATAGATGAAATAAAACACTAATAAGCAACTTTTTTTTAAGCAAAATTTTGACATTCAACTAGGTGAAATGCATCAGAATTCTAATCAAATGCCAAGTATAATTAGATAATAAATAAGCCCCACATAAATTAACTTTATTTTTCCATAATTACTTGAAGTCTATTTCTATTATCAAAATAGGATCATGTTTTCAAGATTTCATGAGTTTAGTCAACATAGCAAGAACTTCATTATATTAATTATAAATGATAAAAAAAGAAAAGAAAACAACAAATCCATTGAATATGAAATATTTTAATACTTATAAAATATTTAAACAAAATAACTAAACAATGATGAAAACAAAACTTTCACCACAGAAACCCATCAAAACCAACTATATCATTTTAATATACAGTTGACAAACGAAAAAAGAACTACTGAAAGTATTAACTAGACATATACAGAAGAATAACTTAAAATTACCAATTTTGCTTGCAGAACTACCAGTTTTTCTTCAAAAGCACAGTTTAATTTTTCCTCAAAATTCATTTCTTTTTCCACAGTTAAAAGATTTTCTCTTTCTTCCTCCAGTTGTTTCTCCAGAATAACAACATCATTTTTTAAAACCTCATTTTCCGCTTTGATGCTATAAATAAGAAAAGTGTTAAGTATATATTAAAATTAATAAGGATATAAATTGTATAATAAATTACAACTCACCTTTCGGCTTCTCCTGTCTGAAGAGAGAAACTCTTTAATTTCTTTTCCAGAATATTTTTTTCATGCTCATACAACTTAACATTTTGTTTGAGACGGTCAATTAGATCAAGTTTTTCTGTACGCTCCTTAATTAATTTTTCTATTTCTGTTTTAAGTTCTGAAATCATTGCATCTTTTACACTATTTTCTTTTTCAGTCTGTTCCAATTTTGTCGAACATAAATGTAATCTGGACTGATTGTTTTCCATCTCAGATTTTAGTTCTAATAACTTATTTTCCAACAACTCTTTTTCTTTTTTCAAAATATCAGTTGATTTGATTCTATTATCAAAATCATATGTTTCTTCAATGTTATAATTTTCAAATTGGGTTACAGTTTGAGACAGAACTCTTATCTTCTTTTTATTTTCTTTCATGGTGTCTGTTAAAAAATCGATAAACTGTAGAAGGTCTTGTACACCAGAATTTTCTTTTAGAAGATTGCTTTCCAATTCTGATTCAATAAGAATAAATTTTTCACGAAACATCTTTTTTATCTCTTTTACTTCAGAATCGAGAAGGCTAATTTTACGGGTAGTTTTACAACTCTCAAGATTCAATTTTTTTTCATTGAACTCAAGTTCTACAATTTTGGATTGTAACTGAGTAATTGTGTTCTTACTTATTTGTAGATCCTTCTGATATTCTTTGTTCCTATCAGAAAAGAACGATAACCGTTCGTGAAGTTCTTTGATCATTGAACTTTTATCAATCAATTCGCTTTTGAACTGCTCAATCTGCATCGTATATTCTTTCAATTTGAAATTTTTCCATTCCAATGTTTCATGGAGAGAAATAAGCTCTCTGGCTAGTTCTTCATTAGCCGTATTTCCTTGAGTTATTTTTTGCCTCCATTGAAATGCTGATTGAACTAGCTTCTCATTTTTAAAGTATTGCCCTTGGAGTTGTTCTTCAAGCCTCCTTAATTCTCTATTGAGATGTTCAATCGTTACAGTGAGCTGACCTATTTCTTTATCTTTAGAAGAATTGATTATATTATAATCATCTTGTAAAGTTTTTATTTCTAAAGCCCTATCTTTGATACATCTACTTAAGAAGTCTATTTCATCGTTATAATAATCAATAGCATTGTTCTTTTCACAAAGTTCACATTTTAAAGCAACCATTTCTTCTCTCAATTCATTAAATTTAATTTTATGCTCAGCTATTAACCTATTCATATTAGTATTCAATTCTGTGATACGAATTTCATCAACTGCTTTGTTGTTATTAATTATTTTATTTTGCAATGTTTGTTTGTCAAAATCTTCTTGTAGTTTAATTAATTCAAGACATTTGCCACTGAAATCTTTTTTCAAAGTTGCAAGTTCATACCTCATATTCTGGCACTCATTACAATTAGCAATCTTTTCAATTGAAACAGATGATTTTAATATTTTTACTTCATCAGTCAATTTTTCAATCAAATTTTCATAATTAGTTTTCTCATTCAAAAGTTTTTCAATTTCATTTGATTTCACTTCCAGCACTTCACTCTGAAGCTTTAATTCTTCTTGAAGTTCAGAACATTTAATGTCGATAATGCTGTTTAGAGTCTCTCCTTCACTATATTGAAAACTTTCTTCTAATGACATATTTCTTTTTTCTAGTAAAATGTTCCTTTGTTCCTGAAATGAATGCTTAATGTTATATTCTGATATTGAAACGGTAGTAGACAGCTTAGTAATGAGGTTTTGAACATTAATTTCTCATTAAAATTTTTTAATATTCAATGCAAGCACAAAATTTCGAAAATTTAATTATTAATTATTGTTATTTCAATTTTGTGAATTTCTCTCCCAAAATAATCATGCAATAACATTATTAGATCAGTTAATTACAACATTTTAAAGTATTTAGGAAATATATAAATGAAAAATACCTCACAGGTTTTTTTTAGTGATACTATAATTTCTTCCAATTCCACAACTTTTTCATTTGAGGAGATAAGTTTTGATTCGATGTGACTAATTCTATTTTCAGCATTTATTCTCCTTTGTTCTTCATTTTTCAGCTGAAAAGAAATATGATATATTTTATTAAAATAATTATTCACTTAAATGACATTAAAAAATCAAAACAAGAAGTATTAGTGGATTTATCAACATACAATAACTGAACTTATGACTGCTAGTAACTCTTCCAATAAAAATTTCCTCTCAAATTGTTGTCAATGATCTTCATAAAATACTTGGCCCAAAATACATAACCATCCTTTCATTATAAGTGTGATACCCACATCCACACATCCCAGCTAACTCATAATCTTTTCCCCAATTCTATCGCTAATAATCCTTCAAGGAAACTAAAAAGCAAATGGGATAACCATGGCATCACACTAGGCTTTTTCACCACACCATTGAGATAATTTGTTAATATTCTTGGCTAGGGCACCAACTACGAACTACTTTGTAGTTTTTTTAGTTGTTGACATGATTTTCTTTTCCTCTACAATGAAATTCGTAGTACTTTATGAGAATTTATATGTCTTGAAATTATAATTTTCTATAATATATTTTAAAATGTGATTGGCTTTTCCTGAATCCTGAAAAGCACTATGACAGTCAATGTAATAAACCAAAGGCGGGGAACTATTTTTATCGTTAGAGGTCACATCAAGATTAGGCAATAGTAATGAAGGTCGCAATAATATTTTAAATTTTACTATTGCTACTTTATTTAAAATTAAATACACTCACACACGCCCATATACACATGTTCTACTTAATTCTATTAATTTTGTAACCTAAATAATTGAATATTAATTAACTCTAGTGCTAGATTAATGAAGACAGCATAAAAACATTTAGAGGCCACAGGTTCACCACCTACACATATCACATATTCAGCATACTTGCTTATTTATGAATAAAATATTGTAGAAACAAAATAGGTACTTGTCTAGTATGTGGTCGGGACAGAAACTCCCTTCTTATCTTTTCTTACATCACATAATCTCCCTTCTTATCTCGTGTAAGCTGTTGTTCCTTCTGTTATGTGTGAGTTATTTCATTGTTTATTTTTTATTAATTTTGTCATTTGTTAAAATGGATATATTATAAATTTAACAACAATACAGTCGTGCAAAGAGCAGCTGAAACTATTGAACAAAAGTGTGGTAATGTGGAACAAGTTTTTAAGAGAGGTTTGTGCCCATAACATGTTATATAGGACAACTAAAAAAATTGGAGGGCCTGGCAAAGTCGTTGAAGTAGACGAGAAAATAAAAGTGCTTTATATGTATATATGTTGCTTTAATTAAGTATGAACGTATATGCGTTGTATGCATTAAGTGTTTATGTTGTATTTTGAATAAAATGTAAGTGTTTTGTTATTATTACATTTGTTTTTGTCTATTTCAATTTCCATAAATATGACGAAGATAGGGATTAAGAGTGTCTTACCAGAATTATCAGTATTCAGGTTATAAACATTGGCAGGTAGCAGTCCATCCCGATCACATAGTACAAAAGTACCAAAAAAATTGTTAAAAATAAATAAATTCCTAAATTGAGAACCTTAAATTTAGACATTTGTTTTATTTATATATTTTCAACAATATTTGTAAAATATATCAAGCATAAAAGCTAAAAATTCTAAAAAAATGCAAACCTTCTTAGATAAATTATTATTATCATCCATTGTTGATTCCAATTGAAGCAACAACCTATCATGAACTTGCTTTAAATCGTCTAGTTCTAATCTCAAAGAAACAGATTCATCGTGGATTTTTCTCAAATGATCATCACTACTCTTCTCTTGGCAAAGATCTTTATCCTCATCTTTTCTTGATAACAAGTAATTTAATCGATTACATTCCCTTTTCTGATAATCCAATTTATCAACTAAAAATATATGATCAGTATTACTTATATTACTAAAATAATAAATGAAAAATTGAATATTTAAAATTATTTATTTATTAATTAAAAACACATACTAGTTTCTTTTAATTGAGATTTAACTGAATCCAATTCATCTTGCAGGTGCTGTTTTTCACAACATAACAATTCTACTTTGCCCCTTAGAGTTCTTACTTCTGACAAAGCTAAAAATCCTGGAGACTAAAAATAATGAATGACCAATGTTATTTAGGATAGAATAAATTAATGGAAAAAATAAAATAAAAAATTGCCCATACATATTGAGGATTTCTTTTAGGAGTTGAATATGTTCTAGGAGAAGATATGTAACTTGAAGAGTCATCTTCTGATTCATCATCTGTAAATAAGAAAAACATATAACCAAGGAATAAAGGAAACAATTAAACTACAGTTCTCATTTATTTTACTTTTCTTTGCACTGTTTTTAAGAATAGTACAATAAATTTTCTTGGGTTTACACTTAGGTGACCAGATTTTAACATAGGTAAAGCGGGACATCATTGACCAGAGAGGATCGTCTAAATTTATTGTTACAATAATTAATTTAACATAATAATATGGTGTAAATGTTAATCAGCTGACATAAGTATTTAGATAAAATGAGGTAGGGAATTTACTTCTAAAGACGTATTTATTAGCAATAATTTGATGGTGTATATGATTTTAATAATAAGCCAGTTTTTAAGGCTTAGATGTTTTGTGCCAGCAGTTAGTACACAAGTAATCAACTCTTTTTTGAAATGCTATAAAATCTAATGAAGGCACAGGCGGATCTACGGGGGGAGTGGAGGAGGGGGCTTTCGGGCTGAAGCCCCCCCAAAATGGTAAAATATAACCATGTTTTACAGAAAAAAATATTAAAAACTATATCTCAAAGTATTCTTGTTCCTGTAATTACATTTAATAGGACGACTTCAGGAACCACTTAAACACCAATTCATATAGGTAGTTAATTTCTTTCTTTTTTTTTCAAATTAAATATCGTTATATGTATATGAGGAAAAAAAATCTTTAGGGCTGAAGCCCCCCCCAAAATTAAATCCTGGATCCGCTAGTGAATGAAGGTGACCAATTTCGGTAATCGAAGCAGCAATTGACGTTGACTTGCTGATGTCAAAGATATAACCTTTTCCTTATCTTTATTCTTTTTAAATAAAACATGATAATATGGCCATACATTGAGTTAAATATTTATATAATAATAGTTAAATAATTAAAATAAAATATAAAAGAGAGAAAAAAACTGTATATACATACATATGTACAAATAAAACAAACAGAGAGAACAAATAAGCAAAATAGTAATGTAAATAAACATGGGATATAAATATCCGAATACAAAATGCTGGTAGAAGAGTAGATTCATGAAGTAAACGTAACAACCCAAGAAACAATGGAACACAACCGAAAGATTTCTCAGAACAAAACAGGTGAATTGGCCAATCAATTCCAATTGAATTGATGAATCTACTCACAATCACAAGGTTTGTTCTAGGAAATCGTCCAGCCTTATTGCATTGTTCGCTGAGTTGTTTTGCTTACTTTCCGTTACTTTACTTTCTCTGTGTTTTATTTATATATTTGTCCAGTTTTTTCTTTCTTGTACTTTTATTTTTAATTACCTATTATTATGTAAACGTTTAATTTAAAATTTGTTTATTTATTTACTTTTTCTCACTTTTTGGTTTTTTATATATGTAGAGTCGTTTTTTTCTCTTTTTTTCCCCTTTATTTTTAATAATACCTATTGAATCAACCGATTCTGAATGAACTGTGATTCTTTCTTGTGAACTGCTTGAGAGAGCTAAGAGAGCGGATTCCTTCAGAGGAATCGACTCTTAGATAAGATTTTCGATTCACTTGCCCATCTGTAGTTTTTTACACCATAATCATTCGCATGTGATGTTTGTGTAGCACCTGTCCTAAGATCTTCAACACTATTGATTACAGAACCTTCTTCTTATGCTATATTTTTATTACGATACTATTAAATGATTTTAATTGTTTTTATCACATTTTTATGAACTCGTAATTAGATAGATTAGATTCTTTTCTTCATGAACATAAGTAAATTACTGATTTAAACTCAACATGCTGATGACTCTCTCATTTAACTCAGCATTTGAGCAAGTAAAAAACCAATTTCTTTAAATAATAATCAACTATAATGATTTAATTTGAACCAAAAATAAAATATAATTCACCACAGTTGAGTGGTTCTCAAAATTCAGAGAAAGAAGTCACAAATCTTCTTCTCACCGAGCCTGATCTCAAACATTTCTCCCAAAACAAAATTGTTCTTCAATTAGAAATCTTGGGAGTCACGTTTTATCAAGCACTAATTTAAAAAAAAAAAAAAAAAAAAAAAAAAAAAAAAGATTTTAAAATTTATAAAATCTCTATCAAAGAAAAGTCATAGTTTTCCACGATTGCCCTTCATTTCATGTACAATTGTTTACTTTGTAATAAATATTTTCATAAAATCCTGGCTAAACCTAAAAAGCCAATGAACAATTTCCGATGATTGACCTTCAGCATCGTTAAATGAACATATCTTGAAAGACTATGATGGACCGATGCAGCTTAATTAAAAAATGACAATATTCCTATAATTTATTTACCAACACCATATGATATTTCTTTAAAAATATGAAATTTAGCAAATTACTTACACAGGAGGTTACTACAACATTTACTGCACATTTTCTCTTAGAAAGATTTTTTTTTTATTACGTGCCATTGCCCACTGGACTTGAGTGGAGGTTTCAATGTGGTCCGCAGACCAAAAAGTTTGTAGACCCCTGGTCTAGACTATCCAGCTCAACTTTTTTTGCACAGCAAATAATTTTTCTTAAGTATCAAGTTTAACAAAGTAAAGTTTATATCAAAGGTATGAATAAAAGAATATAATACCAGATGGAATGTCCAAAACAGCCTCCATGACGATTTGCCTATTAATATGATGTTGGGGTGTCTCAATAAACTGTTCAAGAAAAGCATGTATTTTAAGTTGAACAATATTATTGAGATCATACAAAGGAGTCCTGAAATCTTGAGATTGTAAAGATGCCCACAGAAGCAAAACTGAAGAAACTAGAGTCACCTCATCACTATCCCAATATCCCAAAAGGCGAAAACCACCATACTGTTCTAAAAATAAATCAAAACAAACTGTCAATGAATTTTAAGATTAAAACAATAATAAACAGCTAGGAAAAATTAACGCATCACTTTATTAATGTAACTATTACCTTATATCTAGTTTATAAAACTGTGTTTGAAGATTATAACATAGTTTAACTATAGAAAGTACCAATGATCCCTTGTTATTTTTGTTTTTTCATTTTGTCCATGCAAAGTCAAATTTAGCATGAAGAGATTTCTTCACTAATAATCATTAGTTGGTCTTTGTGTTGCATACAGGATCCTTGCTCGCATAATAATATTGTTTAAAAACATTACAGGGGGCTACCAGTAAGTTAAAGTGAAACTCTCTGACTTTTCCCTATTTAATGATAGTTTTCCGTGACCAATATGTCTGAAGACATAAATATTAAAAATGTATAATTTATAATGTATATTACGCATGAAAGAAAATTGACTACAAAATGATTTAAGTAAAAAAAATGAGCAGTCTTTTAAATAACAAATATAATGTTTTAGGGGAAACGTTTTTTAAGCTTGATTAGGATTTCTTATTTAAGAAAACTAAACTTTTACTAATTTATTTTTATCGATTTTATTTTATTTTCATTCACTGAGAGGAGTTAAAAGTTGATACTTGACAAATAAAGCTCTGATTTTCTCTATTATAAAATAAAAGAGTTACGGGGATTCTAATATTAATGTGTTTTCTCATAAGTAATTTAGTTTCTTCATTATTATAAACAGCACAATAATTATCCATATGACACCTACTGTGACATTTATGGTTAATAAATGCTCTTTTAAGGAGCAACAGAGGTTGGACGAATAAGATTGCTAGCCAGATCTTGACTGTTTTAAGTCCATTTTGCTTAAATTTCAATTATTACCCTTGTTTGATCTCAATATAACAACCAGTGCTATTATTGACAGCCAAAGGTGGATGAATATAGAGACCGTGGTCGTTTATAACGACAAAGTTTACCACTTTCAAGTCATTATAAATGATATCCAGTGTATATTTATTTTCATCTTGAAAAAAATATTTACATATCTGAAAAAATCTCTGACTTTTCTCATTTTTCCAGGTCGGTTGCCACCTAGCATTACGATGATCCTTAACAAGAATTCATCTTATTACAATTTTGCAAAAGAGCTCTTACACAGTATTAACGAACACAGCCAGTTTAAGGGTGACTGGAGGTCCTAGATCCATCATGTCAGAATTTGTTACGACTCTTTTTACTTTTATTTTTTCACTTGTGAAATTTATCATTATCTACCATTGATAACATAAACAAAAATTACTTCATAAGTCTAGTCAGTAAAATTTGCCAGGTATCCATTTCCAGTTGGACAGTGAGGGGCAAAGAAAAGCTAAATTAAACACCAGAAACAGTGTATGTGGACCTTTTTCAAAAGTGTTCACAAAAAAAATTGATTTGCCTATGTTCATAACATATAGATTAGAATTTAGAAGACTCAAAGCGACTTCTTTTTACAGATGATGTGGGAGTGAGTCATGGTCATCAGATGGCCAAGTTTTCATTTTTAGACAAAGTGTATATTCAATGTTCAATGCACTACAAAACCACAGCATTTTATGGAGTGATATTTCTTCTAAAACCCTTATGAAATTAGTGGTAGTGCAGGGCAAGTTTTAAAATGTTCAGAGTACTACTTGAAATATTCTAAGGAAAATTTTCTAGTACAACTTGTTCTCAACATAAGAAATAGTTTTATGCTGGTTCATAAATTACTCAATAGTATAGTTGAGTAAATTTAGGAAGTTAGTGCCAAACTCCAGCAGTGGCTACTAAACAATCTTGATCTTAATCTAATAGAACGTGATTCAGTACTATTCCAGCACTGTATGGGACTAGAAGTTCATTCCTAGTACACTTTAAAAGTAGAAAACAAACGTCAATGAAGATTATTAAGTATTTTTGTAGTATTGCCAGTCTATATATTTTTTTTATTTTTGTTCTCCTCTTCCTCGCCTGTTAGGCTATATGGGTGCTTTTCCCGGGCTGGATGATTAATGTCAGAGTTAAAAGCCCTCTGAACTGCAAGAGCCCACCGAATCGCTGCAGTCGACAGATCTTTTATTATTCAATCCTAATCCATATGGAACTCTCCATCCCTTACCACATCTGTCACTCCAATAACCTCCTACTTTTAAACACACTGTTCAATCATCTTATTCATCCAATTCCAATAAAATTATAAATAGATATTACTTTAAACATGCACATAAATTAAAGATTGTCCTGAATTATTTTTATTTCATGTTTTTTTCTTAATTGATTGAAGTTAAAAGGTAATTTATACTTTATTCTTTTATGAAGATTTATTTACTATGTGATTATTTTTATATATCTAGAGGCTCCATAGTTCACATTTCTGTCTTTCTGTATTATTCTAAAGGGATTTGTCAGAGAATATTTAAAGTATCATTATTATTTTTGGAAATGCTCACTTATTTTTTGAAATCCAAAATTAAATAAAAGGATTAACAACTGCAAGATGATGCGTTAATTACATCCAGCAGTAAATTATTAGGTATAATCAATCAATAAAACTAACCTTTCAAAAAGTTTTCTATTACATTATACACATCACATTCAGATAAATTCTCTTCAGTATTTTCATTTTTTCTAAAATAAAAAATTATAAAATATTAACAACACAATATATTATGAAATATAAAAATAACTTAAAGGAAAATATTATTAAAATTGACAAAAAGTTTGGAAGCTAGCATTATATATATAAACCGAACAGCAAAAAAAGTCCTTTAATTTTTGGAAAATGTGTATTTAAAGTTCATCATGAGCGTATTTATATTTTGACTTTGTTAGATAATAGTTTGTAAAGATTTTCATATCAATAATATCTATATATTTCATATCAATTGCAGAGATGGTTTCGTGGCTTGCTGAAATTCAGCTTCAACCAAAATTTCTAGCTACTGCAGTTTAGCTCATCTTAGGTATGCTTATGACACACTGCTAGGGCTGCTTGGGTAATATTTACATGCGAGTCTAGACTTTCATTATTTACATCAGAATGCCGGATTAGAGTGAAGAAGGCAAAGACAGTGTCTTGCACAGTGAGCTCGTGATGGACGAGGGTGTTTAAGTGTTGTCCGTTTTAGCATTGTCATGTCTAGAGACACCTGTTCTAACCTAGCCTGGGTGGTTGAAATTTAATTCGCGGAGTTTTGAAATTTAATTTAACCCACGGAATGAATCTCGGCCTTCCCACTCTGGTTGGAACAGGTTTGGTTATAATTCTATAACAATATCCCCCTGCATATGGTAGAAATGGTAAGGCAAGAGGTAATCCAAAAAAAAAAAAAAAATTAAAAAAGTGTTTTGTAATACAATATCTCAAAAAGAATGTTGCCTCACGGATACAAGTTAGTAATGATTGGGGTGGAATCACTTCAGAGGTGAAGAATGATCTCAATGTATTTTTGAAAGGGAACCTTACTGAAGAAAGGTACATATCAGACATTCTAGAAGATTATGTAGAGTCATTCGCTGCTTATATTGGCTATGATTTCAATCTTATTACATATTGCAAATGCAGTTAGCACTACCTAAATGAGGTTGGTAAAAACATTATACAGTGATCAGCCTGTAACCACAACCTTAATCATATTGAACATTTATGGGATAAGACAAGGGAGGTGTATCCACATGAATATGAGGGCTAAAATATATTTGATATGAAGATAAAATAAAAAGGAATTCTTCTTGGTAAGACCCTAACTGCATCAGAAAAGAAACAATTAAGGATTTGTTTACCTCTTGTACAACCAAAACACCCATAAACATTAACAAAACTTAGAATTTATTGGTAAACATCACTACTGCAATCTGGTGACAAATTATTCTAAGATAAAAACTTATAACTTTACAAAAGAAAATACAAGAGTAAGAATTGACTTAATCATTAATCAAACCAATAGAAGAAGAATACTTTTACTAAATTGTTTTTAATAATAAAATTTGATGGGTGATAAATATTCAGGACATAGTAATTATAAAGTTTTTATTAGTGCTACTTCAACATTTCAATTAACTTCCTTCAATAATTCTATAAAATTTGACATTCTACACTGTTGACAATTACAAGAGCAAGGTGTTATAACTGAAAATTAATAAGTTTCATAAAGTAAGTTTTAATGTAATAGATATAGTTCTGCATAGTCTTAATAACTATCTGGACTAACTTAATATTACATTTTTTCAATTGTAATACAAAAGAATAATTAAGTATGTTCTTATCTATAAATATCTTAGTAAATTAACTTTAAACTTACATTTTATTCAACAGTTTAACAAAGAAACTACATTTCACCAAATCAATTATATCATTAATAGGCTCATCCAAAATTTTCAAAGCATTTACCTGAAAAAAAAGAAGAATAAAACTGTATCAGAATAATCCAAAATGAAGTTATGATTTGGGAGAGGTAAAACAGATCAAATAAAATAAAAAAGATATTAGAGGGTGTACTTTAAGGTTTTAGTAAATACCGTAACACACAATATTATTTAAAAGTAAATTGTACCCATGATATAATAACACTCTGCCAGCTAGAAACTCTCATTTTCAATTAATAAAACTTAAAATTATATTCATTAAGGAGCCAAAAATCGCTACAGTTAGAAGTATTTTAAAGGCCGTGGAATCATCAAAACACAACATCAATCCATGTTGTAGTTTATATCAATTCATAGTTTAAAATTGGTGTCAAAGAAATATTGGTTTATGAAATTTATTTTTTGCGTACCTTAAACAATTTTTACAACTCTTAAATTGTTTATTGAAAATATTGAGCATTGATTTTTGGGATATAATTGGCTGTGAATTATAGAAGAAACATCGAATCGAATGAACTCCAGAGGGTCACTCCCACTTTTTTTATCATCGTGATGGGTTCTATCAGTTATATTTTATTGAACTTTTTGGTTTTATGTTATTTCGGGAAAGTATATTGTGGAGTACCTGTTTTTATATGGGAGTCAAGTGCTATAACTGAAAAAGAAGATGTCGTTCCTGCCCTTTCCCAACTGGATGTGGACGAGTTCACAAATCATCTGGTTAAAAAAATTCACATTCATAAACCATTGATTGTAGTATTTCTTGAAGAAACATTATCTGTTGAAGATTTTAGTTGGAAGGATAATCGCTACAAAGGTTCTTTTCCACAGTTAAAAAATATTTCTAGCATGTCAGCTAAATTAGAGTTCATTCCTTCAGTTGATGATCCTATGACATCTTTGAGAGAGCTGATTGTTAGTCATGATTATGTATGGAAAAAGTATGATGGTGTAAAATTACCCATTGAATCAGGAATAATACTTGTTGTCAAAATGAAAGATCCCTTGAATTTTGAAGACCGACCTCAAATGCTCAGAAGACATGACGGAAACATTGCTGAAATCTACAGTCAGCTATTAGCTAAACATAGTAGGATCATTGCAATATTTACTGGAAAACAAAGCTCATGGGTTGAATTTGAAAGCAACCGTGTTAAAAGACAACTTTTTCCTGAAGGTTCATATAACTTTCTGGTTGGTGATATACTGTTGCATACTTTAAGTCCTCCAGTTCTGTATGATGGAATTAATAACATCACTTTATCTAGCATTCCTGTTCTTGTAAGTTAGAAATGTTTTAATTTTTGAAAGTATCTATACATTTTGAAAACTTAAATGGTTTATATTAATCAGTTATCTTTATTTCATTTCTATTGTAGATTTATAGAATACTTAAATATTTTTATTTTGCGTTAATATTTTTGTTTAATTTTATTGTGGTTGATGTTAAAATATGTCACTGAGAATCTCAATGCCAGTCTAATGCCACACCCCCTTCTTGAAAACTTATTGAACTTATTCATTATAAAACTGTGCAACTACTTAATTATTATGTCTAACATTATAAATATCTTATAGTATTCCAGAAATGTTTAATTTATTGTTTGATAAACTTTTTTTATATAGTATATAATTTAGCATAAATCGTACTGAATTAAAAACTATTTCCAAAAGAAGTAAAAGCTAATGTAGATTTAATTTAAAAACTTTTTGTATGCTCTCTCTGAAGTGACTAGAAATAAATAACCATGAATATTCTCCTAGATATCAAAATTACTAAGTAATGCAGTGGTTTCAAAATATATTTTTTGTCTGGTGATAATAATTATTATTATGTATTTTTTATGAATGAAATAGTAAACCATATTTATTGATAAAATACAAACTTTAAAAACATTGAATTATAATTATGAAAGAAATATTATTTTTTATAATTGGATTAGTTATTTCAGGAACAGCTCATGTACTTTTATCAGTTTTGAGTTGAGAATAGTTTTGGGTACGTTTTTCAAAGACACATCTTTTAGTGCAAGAAACAAAATTACATAATAGTCTAAAGATTGATTGCTTCGTAGTTTCGCTATGTGCTTTCGATTTGTAACTACAGAGGGCTGGAAATTGTAATTTTTATATGAATCGAAATCCATGATCCCTACAGGGATTAATTGTTATACGCAATTAACGGGGTTTACGCACCCCCGGATATCCCAGTACAGTACACCTCACACAACTGTACACTACTCACTTATACTGACATTAAGGACAATAAAAATACTCATCCTAGGGTCATCTCCCCTAAGTGATAATAGAGTTGTTTTTCTGACCAAGGTGAATTCACTAGCAGACCCACTGTCCTAGGGCCTAAGAACCTTCCTACTGGGCTTATCACCCATATAGAATTATTAAGGATACATAGAAGTCAAAGAAGCCTCGGAACTGGACTGACAAATCGGAAACAACATAGCAGGAAAATGGACATGAAAATTGATACTTGGAATATAAAGACCAACGTAGGTAAGGAAGTTGAACTCTTGGAGGAGATCATAAAATACAGGATATACATTCTTGATATATCTGAAATGAAAAGGAAAGGAATTGGAGAATTGCGTCTGAATAAGAGTTACACTTTCATTTATTCAGGGATCCCTAAAGGAGAACATACTAAAGAAGGAGTCGGCTTTTGGAATGTTGGAAACTTCGATGTTATGGGCATGTGTAGAATGGAAGAAAACAGAGTATCAAGGAGATGCATGGAAGCAAAGCCAACTGGCAGGAGACCACGAGGTAGGCTTAGAAGAACATATCTGGAACATATCCAGCGACTTGGTGAAGATAGAGGAAAAATCCTAGGTCAGATGAAGGAATTGGCAAGAGACAGGGATGTATAGTCGGAGTGGCTGGAGGCTCCTCCACGCTGAAAAGCACACAAAGAGGTAGAAGAAGAAGGAATTCATGACAATAGTGCCATCAAGATTTCCTATGCAGGTATAAGGTTGAGCTCAAACATTAACTGAAAAACTATACATTTTAGGGCTTTAAAAGGCAGTTACTTAATCTTAAAAATTGTCAATTATCCTTTAATACATAAAAAGTAGAAATCATGAAAGTAGTTTTTGAAAACCGTATGTGTAAAAATGATAATTAATATTTTATAACACTTCTTGAAAACAGAAGCAATAATGCATTAATTACAAAAGGCTGTATTTTTGTAAATAATGGTTCTATTTCCCTGTTTTTCCTCGTTTTGTAGAGAATTTAGTAAATTTTCAAATAATAATGGGTCTAATCAAGAGAAAAATGTATACTTTTTAAGTAATTCGCAATTTTTTTTATTTTTATTTATTCATGAGATTCACAACTGTATAAATTAAAAATACATCCAGTGAATGTGCACAAGGTAATAATACAATCACATGAAAACGCTTGTTAAGGAACTACCCATTGATATCACTCATGAGGGTTATCAGCTATCGAAGAGATAGCAAGGTTTAAAACGAGAGGATTCAAATGGTTTTGGAGTTTGTTATGGAAGGACAGGTATCTGGATTGGGCTAAATCGGAGACATATGGTACTTTAAGGTCGTTATAAATGATTTTATTTGTGACAAAGTAAGGAGCATTGAGGATTTTACGATGGATTTTGGATTTTGAGGATTGGATACGAGAGGAATTCGATGGTTTAGTGGAGTCCCAAACCTCAATTCCGTAAGTCCAGATTGGCCTTATTATAGTCATGTATATGAGTCTTTTGTAATATATAGAAAGTTTAGAGCATTTATCCAGTAAATGCTGGAAATTCGCAAATAAATTTTCTTTTCACTCATAATTTTTTTTCCTGAAATTTCGGGTGGATGTTACTATGATTTGTCACTGCTCCATTTATTACCCTTTCGTTTGATACCTCATTCATCAAAATACATCGCTCCTGAGAGCCGGTATCATTACAGCAAAAAACTGTCATTATATTATAGAGATAGATTTATTAAAAAAAATATTCAACAGAAAATTTGAATAATTGAAGTGAGAACTCGTAGGATCCTAATGTTGTATTTGTGATACAAACAGGTGCTCTAGCACTTAGTGCTTAGTAAATCTCTGATGTGACAGTTATATTCATATAAAAATTTTATACTATTGATTATTGATTCTTATTAATTTTCTGTTTTAATAATATGTAATGATTTTTAGGTTTACGATAATAGATCTACTACAACTAGATTCTCTAGAATGATTTTGAAGTATACCCTAAATAATTCTGATGGTTCTTCTGGGAAAATAGTTTTACGATTGAAGTTCCCTAAAAATGAAGGTATTTATTATAAATAAATGATATTCTGTCCCAGTCTCACAATTTATATTTCTATGTTCATGTATATAAAAGATAAATAACTTCGATGTTTATGATAAATTACCTGTAGCTCTTATTCAGAGTGTCCCAGCAACCTGTAGTTTCTTAAAAATTAGGATCTGTACAGAAATTTTGTCTGTACCTGAGGAATTTTCTGTTAATTCCTGAAAAAAATGTTGTTAACTCTAAAACTGTTGGTAAAGGTAACTTTTTGGATTCAATCTGATGAAATCCTAAGTTTTGAGAAATTCTGAAGCTTGAGGCAGCAATTATAAATTGACATGTTGCTGAGCAAAAGTTTGCCTAATTCTTTATTTTTCGCTATCAGTAGTTGGCATACATTTTATGTAAATCAGTACTCAAATAAAATTTGCATATAATAAAATAATAAGCTTAACACAACTTTGAGTACCAATATGGTTTGTTATAGGCAGCTTTACTTAGTTAATTGGTAACATAGAACACCATACATAATACACTGACAGGCAAAAAATTCCACCCACTTGATTTTTTCATGTTTTCATCTAGTAGGCGGGGTGGCCGAATGGGCTAACGCGTGTGCACTGCACCGCCGTTGCCCGGCAACCTGACATATGAATTAACGATATAAAAATAGACACGAGTTCGCGTCCCGGTGCTGAGGGAGTCTTTTAAATCCCCGCTCACACTCCCTGGCCCTGGAAAATCCCGTATAGCCTTAACGGCGAGGAAAGGAAGGACAAAAAAAAAAAAAAAATGTTTTCATCTAAAAATATTTCTGCTTTGGATTGCTCTATTGTTTTTAATGAATAAATAGGTAATCTTTTTGTTTGTTTTCAATTAGGAATGTTTATATTAACATTCCTAATTGAAAACAATAACCGTTAATCCTTAATTCAATGAAATGATTCTAGATTTCAATGTTTACTTTCTATGGAATCAAAATGTTTATTCAGTATCATTAGTTCAGTGCCGTTTCTTGCAGCACATTTCTTAGTCTCTGGCTTTTAATTTTTTCAATATTATGTTTAAAAATGCCTCTTAGTGCGGAGGATGTTGCGCTTGGTGTGGCACTTATTGATGATAGACGTTCCATTAGATATATAGCTAGTACCATCGGAGTTCCATATGAAACTTTACGAGACGCCGTCAGGCGTTTTCGGGAAACTGGTTCTTACAATAGAAGGCCCGGTTCTGGACGGCCTAGGGTAACAGAACCACCGGATGACCGGTTTTTAACTTTGAGAATTTTACGAAACCGGCACCTTACCGTTGTTCAAGCGATTCATCTGCTCGAAGAAGTTCGAGGTATTCAAATTTTTGAACGTACCGCTCGGAGAAGATTAAATGAGTATGGATTAATGGCTTTTCATCCAGTAAGAGGACTAGAGTTGACCAGAACTCACAGAGTAACATGGCTGGCTTTTGCTCGAGAACACAGCCATTGGACTATAGACGAATGGAGTGCTGTACTTTTTACAGATGAGTCAAGTTTCGCTCTTCGATCTCCAGACGGGCGTGAAAGGGTGTGGAGAAGAAGAAACGAAAGATATGCAGCCTGTAATTTTTCCTAGAACCAACCTTTCCAACGTGGTTCCTTAATGGTGTGGGCTGGGATTTAAATGGAGCGCCGCACAGAAGTGGTTGTTGTTCGTGGAGGGTCTTTGACGCTATGTAGATGAGATTTTGGAACCTCATGTGTTGCCTATCCTCAACGAAATCGGTGATCGTTCTATTCTAATGCACGCCCACATAGTGCAGACGTTCCTTCAACAGAACAATATTGAGGTTTTAGCCTGGCCAGCACGTTCTCTAGATTTGAACCCCATTGAGCATTTATGGGATAAACTCGGAAGACGAATAAGAGCGCGTGCAACACTTCCTGACAGACTGCTGGACCTTGAAAGGGCTGTTCGCCAGCAAAGGAACATTTCCTGACTGGTGGAAAGTATGCCGAGGCGTCTTCAATAAGTAGTGAAGGCAAGAGGAGGAAACACACGCTACTAAATGATGATGTAATTGATTTCTTTTAGAATAATAATAAGTTCGTTTTTCAATTTTTTTTTCTCTAATCTTTCTTACCCAATCACATTTTGATTATTAAAGGTAAAAAAGATAACAAAATTCCATAAATACTAAGTATTATCTACAAATACCATGTATTATATACAAATACAACTTTTTTTACAAGTGGCAGAAATATTTTTAGATGAAAACATGAAAAAATCAAGTGGGTGGAATTTTTTGCCTGTCAGTGTATAACTCGTGATACAGAACTCCGACAGTTTTTTAAAAATTTAATTTAACCTAATTTTTGTATTCTAAAAGTAGTCAAAAATTCATTGATGATTAAGCCATTAACTAATTACACAGTATTTCTGTAGTTTTGGCAGTGTATCATAAGCTAGTAATTTTCCAGCACACCTGATGCTTAAAATCTCTGCTGGATTAGCAGTACAAGGAAAGAGCTTCTTTCAACAGTCTACTGTCTTGTAAGTGGACATCATATAGATAACAGAGGTGTAGATGTAACAGAATTTATCTGTAATAAAAAAAAAATACGTGTTAAATGTTATAATTTTTTAAGTATTTTATTATCAAGTGTCACAAATCAACAATGATTATCCTTAGAGGATCTGTTTCTGTGGAAATCAAACTAACTTTGATTCTGGTTCCCTAAATATATTTATAACATTATTAGTTTCCTTATATTGATGATTGCTTTTTATTTCATGTTTATAGGACGTTGGTCACTCAGTGAAATTGAATATGAAGATAATAGTGGTAAGTCCTTCCACTTGTTGCCAGCAATGAATTATCCATTAGGAGAGGAGATAGGTTCTGCTGTGCATTCAACTACACCAGTGATATTTCAATATACTGATCCTAATGGTATACGTAACATTTCACTTGTCTTCAATGATATGCTTGTAAGTATATTTTCTTATTTTTATAATAGTTATTTTTCATATTTAGTTTGTTTATTTATCTTATTACTTCTTTATTTCTCTGACATACATTAAGGGATGACAGGGAGGGGTCTCTCTAGAGGTATAATCAACCTGTTCTAACCAGAATGGGAAGGTAGGAATTCATTCTGTGGATACGCCCCAAAATAAATTTCAGCAAGCCCAGGCTGGTTTCAAACAGATGCCACTTGATTCAAGATTGCTCAGATTATGACGTCTTAATAGTCTTGGCCATCATGGACTCAGTACAAAGATTATTATCCAGGAAAAACTGATTCATACAGTATTTTCATATACTTTCTATGTATTAATAGACAACAAAGCATTATTAGAGTACATTTTCATTAAAGCAGAGGTCCCCAACATTTTTCTATTTGAGGGCGAATTTGATTATTAATCAAATGGTGGGCATTAAATTATTTAAGTTTTCTTTGCTATATATATTGTATATTAACAAAAAGAATTAATTTATAAGAATTAGTTATATGTTTCTATTTAAAATAAATAAGAATTTAGTTATACAATAAAAGTTTATACAAAATATAAAATTTCTTTTTAGGAAGTATAAATGCGAAAGTTAATGTTAATCTTTGCTCTGCCTTTCATTGGCCATTGGCCTTCATATTTGAAGAATATAATGATTGTGTTTAACTTTAATCACATTTTGATATTACATATAAATAAACTAATCTGAAATAATAAAATAAGAGATGGGGGTATAAGAATGTAACTAGTTTTAACCAGAGCCTAGATTTTGATGTCAGTGAAACCTGCAGAATATACTACGTAGTATGCCATAAATAAGCATAAAATGTGCAGAAAAAAAATCTGATATGTAAAGCCGGAAATAAGGAATAAATGAGTGTGGTGATTAAAAGTGATAAGGAATTTAATTTTCAATGTTTTATTTTAATTTTTTTTAACTTAATTTCTATAATCAAAATATACAATTGTATGCATTTGTCATCCAACATGCCAAAATAAGAATAAAATGATACAAAATTTGACTCAATAGATGATCTGATAGAAGAACAGTAGATTGACCCATAAAGATATTTGATCAGACATTTAAAACTGCATGAAAAAAAATATGCTATCATTTTTTTTTTTTTTTTAAACATATTTATTGAGAGATATTATAATCTGTCTCAATTAAGGACCTTTATAATAGTGTTCTGAGTACACATTCACATTGTATGTACAATAAATAATACAGAAAAACAATTATACTAAAGGTAAATTTATATAAACTAAAATAAAAATAACTTTTTTTTTTTTGTTCTTTCCTACCTCGCCTTTTAGGCTATACGGGATTTTCCCGGGCCGGGGGTTGAGGGCGGGGAATTTAAAATCCCCTCCGGCACCGGGACACGAACTCGTACTTTTTAAATCTTCTCAAATCTATAATCCAGTTGCCAGGCAACTCGCGGTGCTGTGCACACGCTTTAGCCCATTCTGCCACCCCGCCCCCTAAAATAAAAATAACTACACACATGCTTCTATACAATACCTAAAAAAAAATAATAATAAAAATCATTCACTCAAGATCTCCGAGCCAAGCCTTTCTCCCCACTCGTAAGGCACTAAAGGAAAGGCAGGACTCTAGAAGATCCCAGCACCTCTCACTCAGCTGCATTACTGGTATTAAGGACCAGTAGAAGCTGATCAGAAGAGCAATAATCACACATGCATGGCTTGAGTGGAGAATCTGGCCCCATGCCAAAACTCCAATGTATGCTTATTCACAAAAGATTTCAGGGCCACTGCCGCTTCAATTTTCAATTCAATGACATTATCTTTAGGATAGGGGATATTAGCCCTGTGCTCCTAGCCTTTAGTGTCCTTTTTTCCTCCCATATTTATCTCCTTACTCCCATTGAATCTTTATAATATTTTATTACGATTTCATCAAACATAATGTGGTGTCAATCTTTGAAGTAATTAATTGTTTATAATTATAACTAATTAAAAAATAATATTTAGGAAAGACCAACTAAACTTAAAATAGTAGAAACTATTTTATTTATTTATTACTTTCACTTAACGTATAAATGTAATATATAGTAAGGGTAAGTATTGCGATCGAAAAAAAATTTTGGAATCTGAGTTTTCAACGGAAATACACGTTTTGAGGTACCCTGAATTGAAATAACCAAGTCCCGGAAAATGGTCTGTGTGTCTGTGTGTTTGTATGTTAGCAGTCTAACTCAAAAACGAAAAGCCGTACGAAACTGATATTACGTATTTAAGATAGGTATATGCCTTAGATGTGACAGCAACTTTTTCCTTAAAATCGGATAACCGGAAGTGCCACTTTATATCAACGCTGAAACACATTTTTATAATTTTCTCAAAAATGGCTCTAACGATTTTGATTAAACTCGGTGTATCAATGTATAATGAAGTAATCTTTAATACCAATTAGGTCTTATCCTCATTGATGTCCCTTTACAGGGCTTAAATGCCCGATGTTCATATACGTCTTCCTCTAAAGTACCTTTAATATGGTTTATATTATAATGTTAATCATTTCAAATTATTCAGAGTTACGAAAAAATGCTAAATATAACTTTTGAAAGAATTTGATAAGTTAATAAAGGAGAAAAAAAAAAATGCAGAAAAACATGCGTTGCTATAGACTGCAGTGCCTAAACGAATGAACCAATTTCAATGAAACTTCGCGTAAGTCATTTTCTCGACACCCTTTAACTTTATCTATATAATATACTTCAACGAAAAGAAGCTGGAAAAAAAGTTACGAGGGATGGTAAAATTAAATTCCGAATAACCCAAAAAGTATTCACTTTTTTGTTGATATTGTATATAGTTATTTAAAAGTTTATGGAATTTCCTAAAAAAAAAAAATCGTTAAAATCGGACAATAAGGAGGAAAGATATGGTCTGTAGCTTTTTTTTTTTTAATATGTTCTGCTTCAAAGCTTCTATCTTTTGTTTTGGTTTTTGGATTTTGTTTTAGCATATTACTAATGATTAAAAAAAAGTTTAGTCCAATAATTGGAATCACCTTTAATTTTGTTTTATTTTTAACTTTTAAGGTAATGATACTTTAGATGTATAATTGTTATTAAAAAATAGTAAACTATTGTGAAATAATTTGCTGAGTTTATACAATACATATTGTTGAATGGTTAATATTAATTTTTTTAAATTTTATTATGTGTTTTGTTGTATAAATGTGCTAATGTCCAAGAGTAAGTCATCTGAAAGGATATTTTATCTTTTTGTTTTCAGATGAAAATTTAAAATATACCATAAAAACAGATTTTATCCCGGAAGAGGCGAAAATTTGGATAAATTTAAAATATACTTTTTTAATTGTTGAGACTAAAAAAAACTTTTTTCTACAGATATTTAATAAAGTATCTTTCATAAGAAATAGGTACCTAAATTCATAACTTTTTCATTGTTCTATATTTCAACACTGCAATCACCACCTCCGGAATCAACTTACTCACTGTCTGCATAGATAACTTTTTCAACTAAAAATATCACTAAAATGACATTATTAAAAAATGTTGAAATTGGAGTTGGAGTCATTCTGTGGTTTATAAAAGCAAAGAAAGTTGTGTGGTTTATAAAAGCAGATGGAGTGACAAAATTTTTATGGCCTACTGTCGATATATTAAATAGACATTTTGTAATTATAATGGTCTTAATGACTTGTTATCTATAAGCTTTAAGGTTTATTTCTGTTTAAAATGCGTTTAAAAAAATTTTATAATAGCCCAGCATTGCCAGAAAGTAATTGCTATTCAAAGTAGAGCGGTAAGTGAAAGTTGTGTGTTGCGCGCACCAGATTTTTTTTTATTACTGCCACCCTGGACCATCTTTTCCCTCAAAATTATACTATGGCCAGCCACCATTGAGCAATAAAAAAATAATAATAATTGTAATTGTTCCTTAAGAGTGTGATGGCTGAACAAGTTGGAAGAAAGGTCCCATAGTGGTCTGTGTTCAATTTCTGCCTGATTCAGTTTATATTTATTTTGTGATAAATCTTAACACTCCCATTTAAGTCAGTAGAGAGTGTTTCAATACAACTCTTGATGAGTCATGACCTGAGGGATAGGTATAGAGAATCAAATGACCCACTTGCTTAACTAGTTTATCAGCACCCTTGGTGGTGCTGATAAACTATTAACTAACGCTTATTCTTGCCACGGAGTGGCAAAAAATGTATGGTCACTCTGGCATGCCTTATTTCCTCTGTATATTTAATATATTCTGAAGGGAAAACAATCCCAGGATAATAAAAATATTTTCATTTCATTTCATATAACCAAGGATTGCATATTTTACTTAATTTAAATAGATTAATTGAGAAACATTCTATCAATAGTCAATATATCCATTTTTGGAAAGTTAGTATTGCAAAAAAATATTGGGGCTTATATAAACAAGTCATATTTTTATTGGAAATATTCATTTGACCACAGAAATTTTAATTTTTGAATTAAACTTAAATTTGCTGATTTTTAATTTTAATTAAACTGATTTAATATTTCTGATGTTTAATTTACTTCTTTGGAAACAAGCATTTCTTAAAAAAACTAGTAATTTTTATAAATATTTTATTACTTTAGTGTCATTTAAATCCTATAATTTTGAATTTGTAAATATATATATATGTATATATTTTTTTCCAGGTTGAAGCTTATAACCTCTCAGGTTTTTATCCACCTACTTTACTTTCTGGTAAAAGAGCAACAACCAGCCAAGGCCCACCATATTTTACAGAAGCTATCTGGTCCGGCCTGATTGTCACCTTTATTCTTGGCATTATACTTGCCTGGGGTATTACAATGCTTCTTGATATTAGAACAATGGATAGGTTTGATGACCCTAAAGGAAAAACCATTTCTGTCTCTGCTATTGAGTAGAAAGGTAATGATTTGTTTATTAAATGAATTACTTGGCACTTTAGTGTTTCTAGGCTTTTGGTGTTGGCTATGTTGAATTTCCTTCCTGTGTTTAGCCATATTCTTGAGTCAAGTCACAGAATATTTTGTGCCCTGGTTCGGTATTTGTTCTGACAACCCACTAGTTGAAAAAGAGCTTTAGAGCTAACTAATTGGCCTGTGATAATAATTTGCATAGTATATTGGTGAACAAATGGTAATAATAATAAGTTCATGCAATGTGTCATAAGTTGGATGTAACAACTTGAAATTATTTTGTTCAGTAATTGTAATTCATCAAGGAAAAGAAAATTAATTTAAAAGCATTAATGTTTTAAACCTACGTTAACATTTGCATTACATTTCTGCAGAGGTGTGATCGTCTCCCTCCCCAATAAAAAAAGAGAGGGGGCGAGAATATTGTGTTGCCATCCCAACGTTCCGGGGAACAAAAAAAAAAAAAAAAAAAAAAAAAAATCAATATCAATAATTAAATATCTAAACTAAAGTTAGTTGAGAAAATAGGAAAAGTCGACTAGATGGCTAAGCTAAGGCCTAGAAGTAGGTAGCCAATTATTTTACCAAGCTCTATGTTTCTATTATTAAAATTTTAGTTTATATTCAAATATTATTATATGTGGCAACATATCCTAGCATTTTATGATTCATTCTTGTGCACCCTTCTATTTTTACGTAAAGATTTACCTCAGCAAATTCGAAGCATTGGAGACTTAAGCAAAAGCATCTCACTGCCTTTAAATACAAATAAAAATATGTAATATATTCAATTTCTTTTTAATGTATTTTCAAATATATAATAATAGGCAAAAAAATTAACATATAAACTTATATATTATGTATATAGTATTGTATTGTTTATTATGTGATAATTATGTTGATTATGTTAATTATCACTTTTTATACACAATATAAACTGCCGATACTTTTTTGGGAGATATTCATCGCCTCCCTAATCAGAATGGAAAGTCCTGCGCCTGTGCATATCTTTCATAATGGTTTGATTTCTATGTGTTTTTTTTATTTTTAAAGATAAACAAAATGGAGAATACAATTTGCTAACCTTTCGTGAAATTCTGAATCCAATGGTACTCCATTCATGAAATTTGAGCATGATAGGAGCTCATATTTGGTAGAATGTAGCAATGGCATATTAATGAAATGAAAAAATAATTTTATTCTGGGACTGTAGTCCCCTAAGAATAATAACAGAGTTACGTAGTTAAGAACATTAGTCTGGCTTAGATGAATACAAAATAATGCCTAATTAACTATTGGTTAGATTTTGTACCGACACAAGTATATTTTACATGTTTGCGGAAGTTTGAATATAGAGTAGGTGGTGGAACAGGAGTTTTTTGAAGGAATTTGTGGACGAACATTGACATATAGAGTTAGGTAGAGAGTTCCAAAAGGAGACAGCATGAATGACGAAGGATTTGCTGAAGGAAGTAGTTTTATTGGATGGGATATATAAATCTATAGCTTGAAACCTGGATTTGAGAGACTGGATAGAGGAACGTAAAGTAAGGAGTTTCAGGATGTAGGGAGGGGTTTTGGTTCTAAGGACTTGGAAAAGGAAAACGCCAAGGAGGAATTGTCGTCGGGAAGTAGGATAAAGCTACTTCAACTTGGTGTACCTGAATGAAACATGGGAGTGCTTGGGGATCCCAAATATGTATCTTATGGAACAGATCATGAGCTTCTTTAAACTTATTTATAGCCTGGCAGATAGCCCTCCATACACCAAGCAGCCATAGTCGAAGTGAGGGAATACAAGGGAGGTTACTAGGAGCTATCTGGTTTTCAGAGGAATACAATCACAGAATCTTAGGAGTTGTTTAAGGACATTTATGGATTTTTGGGCAATCTGGGAGATATGGTTATTCCAGGTGAGGTTCTGGTCAAAGGTTACTCCTAGGTTTTTGACTAACGGAAAAATGGATAGAACGGTTATTGAGGTAAAGTATAACAGGCCAGATTTACTGTAAATGATGTTTGTGAATAAAAACAAAAAACTGACAGTGTTTTAAAAGATTTGCTTCAAAGAAACATTTTTAAAAAGTTATCAATAGATTTACAAAAATACTTGATATGTAATTATCTCAGAATTTCGAACTAATCATTACTTGGTATTATTCCTCCGCCCCCTCCTCCAGACCAAGAACAACCGTGTGTAGCCTTAAAAGGCGAGGAAGGGGAGAAAAAAAAATGTTATTTTCCTTTTGTTTATATATAGTGTGGATGTAGTCTTATCTCACTTAAATTATTGTACAAGTGACAGAATATTATATTACTCAAAAAAAGTATATAAAAAAACCGACTTGTGATGGAACTAGTCACAGATACTACACCACTCCCAGTTTTTTACTTACTCCTCTTTCTAAACCATTGGCATTACTAATTACTACCTTTTTCATTTCAACTTCTTCAAAGAGATGAATTTTCTTTGACTGTTTTGAAGGTTATCTTGGGTGATAAATTATTATTATATGGCTCTACGACCCACATGCTGAGTCTTGGCCTGCTCCAGCATTGACCACCAGTCATATCTGCTTTATGCTGCTGCCTTCCAGTTGCGAATGCCAAATATTGATAATGCATCAGAGTCTAGGGTGTCCAACCTTTCGTGCTCCAAATAGTTTCTCTGACACTATATAAATTATAGAATTAAAATTATAGAAAGTACTAAAATAGGTGTTTAAACTTCGTATTTCTTCAATATACAAATCTTGAATTACATAATATATTTGAAATTATTAATTTAACTGTTAAACTATTTTAAGTTTAGTTATTTTAAATAATTTCTAGATGAAAATGATTCATCCTGAAACATTGAGCAGGTTAACATTCGTTACTTTAACATGGTGTCGACTATTTAACCAATAAATTATTATTGATTATACTACTATAATTTATTATTCAATTGTAAAGTTTTCAAAATGCAATTACGATATTTTCATTGCTAACTATCAATAAGTCAAACGTTGTCACACTAATTGCAAGTGGATAATGTGATTTCACAAAAGGAGTATTCCTCAAATTATTCACTAATTTAATGAGACATTTTATCATATTGAACTTTTGGAATAAACCGACGATACATACCTAATTATTTAAATATAATATCAGATCTATAAGTTTAATAACACTACAGTAAATCTATTTAAGGTTATAAACATATGTTTTACACATCCATGAAATATCTTTACATTTTACTTCTTCTTTCACACAAGCACTATGAAATAGTTTTTAGAACAATGCCATTGCCTTTATTCATGGGATTTTATATACTTTTTCGACAAACTTGAACATATTTTATAATTTTACATTTCCTTAGGAAATTTCATTTAATTTCATTGGAAACGTGTGATTTCTGTTAAATAATTTTCAGTTTTCCAACGATATATTATGTGTATACCTTCTGATTACTATTTCCGGATATTCATTTTCGTCTTAAATAAACATTTTTTCTTTTTTCTCCTTTATTCAATTATCAAATTCTTTCAAAAGTTATATTTAGCCTTTTTTCACAACTGCTGAAAATAAGAGATAGTTAATTATTTAAAATAAACCAAATTGAAGGGACTTTATTTAAAGGATGGAAATATGAAAATTAGACATTTAAGCCCTGTTAAGTGACATCAACGGGAATAAGACCTAAATGATATTAAAGACACCTTAATCATACATTTATACACCACGTTTAATCAAAATGGTTACAGCCTTTTTTGAGAAAATTGTAAAAATATGTAAAATCGATGATATATAGTGGCACTTCCGCTTAGCCGATTTTGATTAAAAAGTTGCTGTAACATCCCAGGCATGTACAAACCTTAAATATAAAATTTCAGTTCTGTACAACTTATCGAGTTTGAAGAGTCTAGCTTAACATACACATACACACTCACAGTCCATTTTGTGGAACTTCATTATTTGAACTCATGGGACCTCAAATGTGTATTTCTGTTGAAAACTCATATTCGCAAATTTTCACGATTGCAATACTTTCTCCCACTATATATTTCATGTATAGGTAAGTGAAAGTTAAAATATTGATAAAAACAAACTTAATTGATCCCCAGTAGTCTAGAATATTTGATAATCTGACAATATTTTGGTCCCTTATTTGTCAAATTATCAAGATTAGACTATTTTTGGATTACTGTAAATTGTTTATTTACCAAATAATGATGATGTTAACTGAACTTTTAACATGTAATTTCATTAATTTTTTTTATAGTTTTAGGTTAAAATATTGAAGTTGGTGAAATCTTGAAATACTAGGTGTCACAGTAATTAAAAAAAACGATGAACTTTACATTCCAAACTCGCCCAATTACTTTTTATTATTTTAACAGTTGGCCGTGGTGGGTATCGTAATATGATTCTAATTGTTAATAAATGTATTTGAAGAATTTTACTTCTTGTTAAATGTTGTTACCTGTGAATTTTAATGTAAATAGTTCTTATCTTAAGTTTAATTGTGTTTTTAGTTTTAATATATTGTAAATTAATTGTTCTGTATATGTTTCCCTCCCTCTTCTCAAAATTTTATTAGGAAGCTAAAATTATTTATACATGCATAATTAGTTATTTGATCCAAGGTATTTGAATTTTTAGTTTAATTGTATTTTGTTAGAAATTTGTATAATTGATAGGAATAGTTAAGCAGTCACAATTGATACTTGATATTTTTAAAACCTAGAAGAGTGATTGAACATTTCATTTTAAATTCATTCGTATTATACAAGAAAAACAGCAATATTTGTGTATTATATAGTCCATTTAGTTTATATAATATAAAAATGTATTACATAGTTGATAATTTTAGATGCTCGTTTAATATTAAATATATGTTAATGTTTTTCTCCCATTTTCCTGAACTCTGATTGTAAATATCTATCATTGCAAAGGATTTTGAATTCTGTAATGCTATACAGTTAATTTATTACACTCAAGCAGTCCTATTATTTATAGATTTATTGGATTTTGTCAGTTATGGTAATTGGTATTTGTCAAACAATAAATTTATGTTATTGTCTACTTTTAATAATTTATTTTAATCCTGGCATCATTGCTGTATTATCTATTTTGTTTAATTATTCTGTTTTAGTTGAAATATGTATCTTAAAACTAAACTATAATTGCTACAAAAAAATAAGAATATTTTTTCCATATTACAAAAATTAGTGGTTTTTATATTTACAGTTGAGTTCTACTTATTCTGCTGTCCTTGATCTATCCAATGTACAAAAATAATCAAATAAGATGGTTTGACTTATGCTGGGAATGTATATTTGTTATCCAGGTAACACAAAACTGGTTATATGAAACTGATTTGTTGGTGTTACGCCCACAGCAAATCAATAAATATTTACATATTAAGGTGTTGTGATTAAATATTTAGTTGTTTGCCTTTTCAGTGCAGAAGCTTATTGCATGATTCTCTTTGTGGCCACTGTTGAAGGGCAAATTTTTTATTGCTTTCTGAAACACCTAAAAATAATTTTAAAAACTAGTGCAATCTTGCCCTAGAAAGATAATTACTTTGTCTTTGGCCGATAGGCTCAGATGTTGCAATGAATAAATAATTGTCCTACAACCAATTGTTATTAATATCTTTTGAAGCATTTGAACTAAATAGAGTTTATTATTTTACTCACTTAAACCTTTGGAGTTAAGTGGAAAGAAATTTAATATCTATTTAGAGTTTTAATTTGTTAAAAAACTGTAGTTTATCACAAATTTTCCTCTGTGGTAGGTTTTTTAGTGTCCATTGTCGTTGTCCGCTCATGCGATGCTATGCTGATGAGGACATAAATAACCTTCTGTTTTTAATACATTAAGTAATCAACAATCTGACAAATAACTTTTATTGAATTTTATCTATTTATTTTACTATTTTTATAAATGAAGTACATTTTTATTGAAAATTTTTGAAGATTATCAAACTAATTAAAAAAAATTAATTTATAGGGAGTTATTATTGGCAATAAAAGTTAAATAAACTAATAATGGTATTCTTTATTATGGTAAAGTAATTAAATGTTTCACCTCTGCTTGAGCCAAACAATAAAGTGCATGTTTATGGGATTTTTGTTTTTTATGGGATAAAACTAATGTTATATTAGTGTCACGGATAAATAATTTATATTTTATATAAAATGAAGGAGATAATAAACAAAATTTTGAATTAATCAACTGTAACAACTACACTGCTGAATTTATGCAAAATTAAACTGACCTTTTTGAACTCCAGATGAACAAAATAAGGCTTAACATTGGGTAACGGATATGCCCCACCTATTTGGTTGGTTATTTTTTGTATTTGTCGTAAATTAATTGTTTTAGACATTAGAAGAGAAGTATTTAAATGAAATCTTGCCAAAAAAATGTCATATCTTAAATACCACGTAGGGTCCAAATATTACCCCATTCAATTGTAAAAAAAAAAAAAAAAATCCCCATAAATATTATGGTTTGAATCTATCACAGGTAGTTAATGGAAAAATGTTATCTCATTAAACAAATATTTTGTTATAAAATCATGAGTAAAAACAAATCTAGGTATGGGAAGGGATTTAAAAAGGGGTAAATACCTTTTATATCCGGTTTTAAAATTTTTAGTTCAAAGAATAAAAATTTAGGGAACTTTTTCCTTAACATAAAGAAAAAAAGAACAATTTAGGAGTTGGTGGGAGAAAATTTTAACTTGAAAGTGGTGGTCGCAAGCGTTGTGGTCCTGGCCAAATTGGTTTATCTTATTGCATCTGTTGCGTTCTAGGCACTTGGGGATTCTTAGTTTTAATATCAGTGTACTGAGGTTTGTTTTGTGATCATTAAATAAATTTTGGATTTTAATCATAAAGATGTCAACCCTTTCTCAGTTTGCTAGTTGAAAACTTAGATTTATGTAGTTATTATACAGGATTAAAAGTAAAATTAAGTTGGAGGTAAAAGTATATTTATATTGAAGTTCTGTACTGTATATGTCACCAATCAGTGACTAATTACCTGATTTCAAGACCTTCAGATGTTGAAACAAGTGTTTAATATTGGTGGTGTGGTACGATTCGCTTCGATAATTTAAATAAATAAAAAACTTGTTTGTTTGAAGAATTTTATAAAAAGCCAAGAACTATATTTTGATTAATTAATAAGACTTGATCCCAGCCATTCATCTCTTATTAATATTCATCAATTGTCAATTAGTTAGATGTTATTATATTTTAACTAATTGACGTATCATTTGTTATAAGTAGATATCACATATAGCTCCTTGATTTTATATATTGACCTTTATTTATGTAACGCTTATATATATGTGTGTAATGTTTAGTCATGTCTAAAAATGTTATGATACATGTGTTCCTGGTAAACTTATATTTTTCTCCTTCAAATGCATTTATTGGCTGATAAAAAATATTACTTAGTAATTTCGAAGTAATAATAATGGAATGAAATTATTTAACTATTACAGTTGAAAATTTTACCCATCATTCCATGAGAAAAGACTCTAAGTCATGGTAGAAAAGAATCTCAAAGAAGAATGAGCCGCGTTTAGACCCGTTAGATAAACCCAAGATCAGATATTTTTACTAAGGACAATGAGATAGAAAGCTTGGGATCGTAATACAAAATGTATACCTAGAACATAGGACGGTACAGGCAATTGTTCACAAATCGATCTTGAGGAGAGTTATTGTCTTGCTCAGACGCTTCTCTATGAGGATGATATAGTGCTCATAGCGGACTCTGTCCAGAATCTCCAATAAGCAATTGTAGAATGGAAAGCAGAAGTGGAGAGGAAAGATTTGGTAATAAATGCAAGTAAAAGTAAGGTCAGGCAAATAGAACGAAAACCTGAGGATGTGCATATAACTTATAGAGGAGAAGTCCTAGAGGCAGCAGAAGACTGTACATACCTATGCATAGTTATCAGCAGAAAGGGTAAAATTTAACAAGAAATATCCAACAGGATTAAAAAAAAAAATCCAACAGAGAGAGAAATACTTTATTGAAAGTAATGCTGCTCTACTACATAGGGTTGCTTTATACACAGCATACTAATCAATCCATATGAACATAACGATTACATTACATTTGTCTATTATTGTATATTTACATATCTTTTTTTTCCTCCCTTTTCATAACTCTACTCCTATAAAGTATCACCAATAAATCATATCAAGCTATTAACATTGTATAACATACATATTTTCTTTAAAAAAACCAAAAACATTAAAATGCCAGGAATTTAACACTAAATTGCACTCATGTATATATAACAAAGTAATTCCACAAATATAGATCAAAAGATAGATAAAAAAAATAATTTTTAATTAAATAACTGAATAAATAATTAATAAAAGCCATCCTCAATTACTATATAAATGATTGTGGATGATCCTCAGAGAGTCCAAAGTAATATTTTCCACTATAATTTATTTTAATAAGGAAGTGTTGTTATATGCAATTTCAATATTATATTAACATAATAACAATCTATCACCAAAGTGGCTATATCGATGGAGAGATGTCGCAAAGGCTGGGAGCAGCTGGAAGAACGTTCCACTCAATCCGGAAAGGTTTCCTCAAAAAAAAATAAGTGACTAAAAAAACACAAGATATTCGTCTACAAGTCAATGTTCCTGCCCATCCTCTCTTACTCCTCCAAATCATGGACCCTTACCTCAAAACACAAGGGGCAGATCCAGACAATGGAGATGAGGTACCTAAGAAAGGTTGAGAGAAAGATCAGGAGAGATAGGATCTGCAACACGACAATAAGATCAAACCTCGAGGTACAGCCGGTAGGAACCACTCTAGAAGAGAATAAACTTAGATGGTTCGGGCACCTCCTAAGGATCAACATGGAATGAATGGCCAGAATAATGTATGAGACGAGAGTGGATGGTAGAAGACCAAGAGGAAGACCACGGATCACCTGGGAAGAAGGCGTTCAGGAAGCGAGGGCTGGACTGGAGCAGGAGAGAGCTGGTAGAGGAGAGGGACTCGTGGGTTAAACTCTGTAGAGGACATCCCCACACTGTGCAGCATTAGAGAGGGAAATGATTATTATGATCATCTTAACAATCTTTAAATATTGATAGTAATACTTTTATTTTTCAATTTATAATTACAATGTGAACAGTGATATTTTTTTTATTATTTATTGTATCTTTTATAATTTATACAATATTTTCTGTATTTTGCTTAACATTTTTTTTCTCATTTAAATTACTCCCTAAGGGAGAGACTTTTTCAACCTTTTGGCAATTGATGCCAATTAAGCTTATTATTATTATTATTTTAATATTTACTGACTTAAGTTGGAAACATAGATCTAAGCCGTCATTATGCAGTATTTAAAATAAAGTTAAGTTGAAGGAAAAGGTCATCATCATTCCCATAGTCCTTCAATATTTATGTTTATTGATATTATTAAATGTTAAAATTAAGAAAAACTATGATAAGATCCTGAAGATGAGGAGAAAATGATGATTGTATGAAAGGTATAAATAAATAAATAATAATTATAAAATGTCTCTGTTCAAACTTTAAGTATAAGTTTAAAATGTACTGATTTACAATAGAATAATTTTTACCTTTTTTTTTTTTTTCCAATCCCTCTGAAAAAGAAAACATGAAATAAGTATCATATTCGGACCATTACATAGGGATGGAATGATACTATGGTTTACATTAACCTTTTTCTATCTGTGGTATTTGAAGGTGCATTGTTTTGATTGTAAAAGGATATCTCTTCCTGTCTATTTACAGGTCCTGTCGAAATGTTTGGAGTTGAGGGCTCTCCGCTCGTTGAATGATAAAGTACAATTATATTATTAGCAAAAGTTGGTTGACATTTAACTTTAAGGGAACCAATGCATATAGCATTTTTTGTGAATAAACTCAAGTCAAAGATAAATTCCTAGAAGTGAAATGACATTTATTAAAATATTCAACATAAATATTGAAGGATTATGGGAATGATGATAACCTTTTCCTTCAACTTAATTTTATTTAATTTTAATACTACATAATGACGG